CTGGCTCGGGGCCGATATGCAGTGAAATGTCCTTGTGGGTGCATTATTCGCCAATGAGGTTCCTTATACTCACAGCCTTACATTCCATGGTGACACAACAAAACATTGACCATGCCTCTTAAGCACGTTGTGCATCGTCCAGGACCATCACACCGGTGCCAGCATACTGCATTAGGACATGAGCTGACGGTTCTCAACTCGGACGTTCTCGGAAGCAAAGTCGTTCCAGACTGCTGCTATCATTTATTAGTTGGAGGTTGTAACAAAAGTGCAAAAATCATCCAAGCCAACCACATAGCCTTGTGCTGATTGACTGGGGCTAAAAGTTCATACTTGGACGTTATTGGAGAACTGCATGCGACCTTTCTCCTGGTAGCTGGAATGCAGCAGAGAGAATCCATGTTGCCATTGCTATCGGATGCAACCCCGTTGTGAAATTTGATACCAGGATCTCGTAGGAAGTGGTTTCGAGGCAGCAAATGGGGACAAGCAATATGAGGTGGGCAAACCTGTCTCCAGTCAATGTGCTCTTGGAGCAACAAAGCCTAGCCTCATTAGCCTTGAAGAGTGACTGAATGAATATATCCATAGCTATTTTCGCGCGAGAAAGATGTGAATGATTTGAATGTTTATGACAAAAGAAGCAATGATCACACCAAGCCAGGCCTGGAAGTGATACGACCCGGGCCATGGGAGAAGGACGTGTGAACAATTCAAGACGTTATTCATCCATCATTTAGGGACTACACTCGGACTCATAGTTTGAATTATCCTATCCTCCCTGACAGCTGTTATTCGAGGCTCTTCTCTCAAGAAGGTGCCTGACGTTCATACCTAGTACACGTATACTCTTGAGATTAAAGAATCAATGAGAGAGGTACAATGCACATCTCACGTGCTATCTCCCAATGCATGTACTCAAACATCTATAAACAGGCAAAATACAAACCAAAGTCACTGCTGTTTCGACTTATTTGTTTGCAAAGATTGGATGAATTCCATTATATAGGCGCACAGCATCAAACGAGCAACCCCTGGTTAGAGTTCGTAGCTTCCCTCCTAGGTGAATTGCTATGCCGTGTGCCAGATCGGTATATCTAGGACTCACCAGGCGCACCACCCTGAGAGAAGTCATGCGCGAGCACTGGTACCAGTTTCGTGTGTCGTTACTCGCCCAGCATGCGATCGGGGGTTCGGAGGCCGGCTCAGTGTACCTTCTTATAACTCGACATATACCGTTCATTCACCAATCAGCCGACACCGACCATCATATATGGGAGCGCTCATGGCAATCAAGGTGGTCATCAGGGGCTGCGACAACGGTTTTCTGCGCATGCGGCTAGATCCTAGTCTCAAAACCTGGGGCGCATTTCCGTTCGAGAGGCGACGTCCATTTTGTTCTTCGCAAAAAGGCCTCGAAGGCTACGACACGGTGGAACGGATGGCAGCGCAACCTTGGTGTGCAGATGCCCTTACATTTACCGGTAGTTTCTCCGCGCTATCGCGCAGTGTATCATTGCGGTCATCAAGTCGCAATCATGATGGAAAATTACATATCTAGGAATCATTATTGGCGCGGAGAGATTTTGACGTTGCTAGAAACAGAATCCTGCCTTATTTGATTAGTTCAAAAGAAAGCGGTTCGACCAAGAGACCATGCCAATTGATGTTATGTGTGCCTTCTTGAACATTGTCGGTTGGATCAACCAGGTTCACTCGAGTGGAACATCAAGGCAATATCAACGGCTCGATCACGAGATGGCTTGAATGCGCGTTTACAAGACGCAGAAGTGGCCAGACTAGTACGAGTACAATGGTAATTTATTGAAGTTCTTGAATGAGTTTTCAAGGATAAACAGAACGGCTAAAACCAGACCACGCGCGTTAGATGATCTATGCTATACCTAGGCCATCTCGATATCGTCAATAGCCCAGAAGCCGAGCAACCTTCGAGCTGTAAAACGATTACGATTGTTTCTAGACACTCTGAATATGTCTGATGCTGTACCTAACCCAGTCTCGATGTCTTTTGTTGCCTATGATACTGGTGTCGGGGTATTTGGTCCAATGTAAATCACCTTCTTCCAATATCAATTATACGGAAGTCACAATGGTACAACCAGTATAGCGCAATCTCACTCAACCATACCCGGACCGCTGACATTAATTGACAAGAACAAGTGCTCCAACATGACGACAGTTTCTTTTGGTTCAGGATAATTCATCCGAAGGCTTATATTACCAAAGTTGGAACCTTGAGTGCTGGCTTCCCTCCAGCCAGAGTGAGGAGACAAGATCGACAACTACTTGAATTGAGGCTTTGAAAATGACAGGGTACTGAGAGAGAGGATCGAGATACTATCATCTTGAAGCCTGCAAATATATATATGCACTCCTTCTCTGAAGAGTTTCGACATGAAGTGGACTGTTTGGATATGGAACTTGTATCATGCTACGGCAGACATGTATTTATCAATCTTGTCACAACAGGCAAAAAAGCCCTTCATGCGCATCGACCAAATGGACTCACTGGGATCTTACGGACGTAAAAAGGCGTCGACGGCGTCGCGCTTTGCTCGTACATGCTCAAATTTCATCACGAGAAGTTTTCAAGTTGTGCTTTTGTGAGGAGCTCTGATTTCTTGGAGGCAAAAATTGAGGCTATCTAGATGACATGGGTGCCATGTGCGTGATGAGGAAAGAGAAGACTCGTTCTAATGCTTCCCAATGGACCTTTTGGTCATTGGCTGAGTAACGAGTCGTATGATGAATAAGACAGATATGCTCAAAGTCGAGGAGAGCCATGAAACCACACATACCCTGCTCATTATCTTTGCCTTTCTGGTGTCATCTCAATAGCTGACCTTGTAATGGAATCGGTTCCGCGGATGGAACGCTGTTTTGCAGCTGAGCCTTGTCATCAGTGCATTATCGAGATTTCGTATCATAGTCGCATGGGTCACGCGCATTGCACAGCCCATGCTAGGGTCTGGTTGCGGTATTACCCTTCTTGGATGGTTTTGGCGCCAGCATTTCAGCTGACTAAAACTTACACGATGCCAATCGTAGTGCCGCGAGGGTAATCACAATGAAGATGGACATGTGGAGTACCCTGTCGATTTCGTGACCGCTGTCAGAATGGTCAAAAGTCGGAGGAACAGCTCTTTGCTGTGGTTAGGGATTCGAATTATAATGCTGAAGTGGCAGTGTAAAAATGTCATCTTGCTGGCTCTATAATGGCACCAAAAACACGAATGGAGTGAAAAGGACCTTGTAGTACCAGGAACCAATGATAGATAAGGGCAGTTTCATTTGCTTTGGTTTGTCACGTAGCAGTGACGTATCTATTGTATCATGCCTCATTTCTAACAGTCTTGGTATTCTATTGTACAAGATTGGAAGTATACCTGGGCAAATGCTACTTCTCTTCCTTTTTATTTTGCATGCTGCTGTAGTGAGCTGGAGTTCGAATTCAGCCCAGCGGGTTGCCTCGCCATGATTGATGCATGAATAACGTAGTACCTACCGTCCGTCCATCCTCCTCGAAAAGCCGCGCACATATGCACGAAGCAGCGTGGCCTGTTTCCATGTGCATGTCGCCAATCACAGAGACGCGCGCCTCTCTTGTTCTTGGTTAGGCTGATGCTCGTCTCACCTCCCTTCTCTGGGGAAACGCTCCATGACTGGCGGGCCAGCGAATCAGACGACGGCAAGGTTTTTCCAGATGGCCAAAAGTGCCCTCGTCTCTTTCTTTTTTCTCTTCTTTCTCGCTTCTCATCTACTTCTTTTTTGCTCTTGCGAAAGAATAATCCTTGTTTTTTTTGTGTTTTCCGTGCAGGACGGGAATGAGAAATGACAAGACCACCCACCCACCCGCCCACCCTATTGAGACAAGCAAGGCCCTGCGCCACTCTATTGCGGGCTTCCCAATAAATGCATGCAGTGCAGCGGGTGTTCCCCCAACCTTAAAACCCATGAACACAGCCTCAAAAAGGGCCCCCCAGGAGGAACAAAAAACATGGTGTGTCCACGGGAGGCCCATAACGTAGAACGCCAAGACACCACAACCAAAGTACGCCTTGCCTGTAAACTGAACGAATCAGGAACGCCGCGGGGGGGAAACAGTCACATCACCGTAGGACCTCCATCATGCCGTGAAACACAACGAGAACCGCCGTAGAGAAACCAAGGAAACAAAAAAGAAAGTCTTGAAAGTCGTAGCATAGCCCGTTGTGGCGGGAAAACGCAAAAAAGGCATCTGTCGTCAAGGAGAAAGAAATCGAAGCGAGAGTCTGGAGGATAGCCCAGTAGCCGTAGCTGAAATGGTTCGGTCAAAGCAGAGAAATATGTTAAAACAAGCGAAGGCGTAAAGGTCGTGACTGCGTATCAGAGAGGGCACATGAAAGACAAGACGGTTGAAGAAATCCACACAAAGAGTCCCCGTGGCAATAGACTGAACCGCCGGGAGTGACTTGTGGTATGCCGGCATAGTTGCTCATCATTGATATCCTCTGATGTTTCGCCTCTGCTTCTCGCAAGGCGTATTGCATTGGTTGCATGTGAAGCCAGAGTCCTTGATAACAACCTTGCTGAGACACTTGACGCATCGCCACGTTCGCGGGGACACGGACTGCTTCTTGTCCGCGTACCAATCAATTGATTCGCCGCTTTTACGTGGTAGGTCCTCGTTGTGAAAGTCACGATAGTGTTGGCGGAAGTGGTCGATGCGACCAAATGAGTCGTGGCTACGCTCGCACTTTGGGTAGTCGCAAAAGAACTGTCTCTTTTGATCCGGTGTCTGGTGGATCTGCTCCCAGTGCCGCTGAAGATCCGCCTTGCGCTTGAACGACGTCTTGGATTCGCAGCCTGGCTCCGAACACATGTGGGATGTGTTGGGCAACTCGACTTCCTGCATCAGAGCTGGAGCCTGCATCGTTACCATTGGGGATGTTCTTGGGCTAGCCATGAGAAGGAGATCAGATCGGTGCATACTAGAACTCTTCATTGGTAGACTTACATGGACATGGTCGATGGATAGGGATAACCCATATTGTCGACACCATCAGTCGGCGACATTGTATAGCTGATCGAAGGTTCCATGTAATCCGTAGAATAGGAGCTCTCCTCTTGCCACCATGGTTGTTCTGGATCATAGGCAAGTTCCGGAGTATACTGAACTTGGTCAGACGGTGGATAGTGAGAGTGCCAGTCGGACATGGTGGGAAAGGTTACGGGAGTCGGTGGAGATCCAAAGGTTGACAAAGAATTCTGGGATGTATTCGAGCCGTTTGAAAGGCAACGGATCATGTACTGACCCTGACCCTGACTGTAGGATTCCGGCACGCCTTGTGTTTTATCTTGGTAGTTGTTTCCCGTCGTGTAATGTTGGCCGTTGGCAAAGGATGAGAATTTCCTCGAGAAATCGTTGATCTTAGCTTCTGAGTAGTAGGAATTGTAAGCCCCGTACGATGCCATGTCTTCAGATTGGTTGTGATTTATGGTGAAGATGATCAATCAGGATGTGCAATGTTCCTGTTGTTGTAGAAATGTCGCGATGCAAACCGGCGCTGTTTTGCCCGGCTTCTTGCTATGGTAAAAGGTGAACAAACGCACAGTTATAATAAGGGTGGGCGGCGCGACCCTTGCTCAACGGCAACGGTCAGCTCTCCGGTTCAACTACTGGGGCAACTGGCAGCATACCTGGGCAGAGGAGCAAACCCCCGGGGGATCGAAGCATGCAGTTCCGCAAATGTAGGTGCGACAAGTTGTGGTTGCAATATTGTACAACGGCTGGATAGTAGTGGAATTAATCCTGGGCATAGCACTGGTCGAGGAACTCGGCGAGTCAGTCTCTTAATCAACGAAGGATGAGTCTGTCATGAAATAGAGCAAACAATGTCAATGATATATAACAAGTGTTTCAAGCTCGGCAAGAATTGACCTCAATGAAGAAGAAAATGCACTTTCAAACAGAGCGTGAGGCGGTGTGTTCCCAAGGCATTATCGTCCAATACAAAGTTTATCGACTCATTGCGAGAAGATAGGTATCTTGGAGAATCACCCTAAACGGGATGCAAATATGTCGAGCTGCTGCAAGTGCTGCAAGCATAATAATCATCAAGCACGATGAGGAAAATAATTGTGGGAACTCAAGGCTGTCTGTGGAAAGGCCTGGGCAGAAAGATCGCTGCGCTGAAGAACAAAGTGCGCAATGCCAAGCTTCCACAAAGAGTATACACAGCCCCCAGCGCCAGCGGGACCCTCCATAGGCCTACCAGTCACATTACGGCACTAGTCTAACGAGGAGCAGCAGCAGCACCTAGAGTGGCTTGAGGACCTTCGAGTGAGGAACGTGGCCATCTGTAAGTCGCCAGTCTGGGGTTGCTCGGTCTGTTTGGGAACCTGCTTTGACTCACCGGGGACCCGGCCTCAATGCCTGCAGCAGCAGTGATGAGAGACTTTATTATATTATCCATCATGTAGGTGTGTGTGTATGTAGGACTGACTGGGCTAGGGGATGCAGCAAGTATGCATATTGCCGTTTGGATGGGACATTTACAAGTCATTCAAACTCGATCGTGTCATCAACCTGGGCCGAAAACAGGGCTCTTCACTGTCGATTGGCAATTATTTGGTGATGGGGTGCGTTGCGTGCGTACCTAAACTAGGTACCTGGATTGGATTTGGCACTTTCAGCTCGCTCCCAGGATCCCAGTCAGTCACCTTTGTATTTGAAAGTGCGTAATCCCTCCTCTTCCTCGGAAGGCTGCTTTCTTTTGCATACCAAAACCTGAACGGCGAGAACCTCTCGGGGCATCGCTCTTCGAGGTTACATGTCTTGTGGGGATGATAAAGACTTTTGGTCTTTCAAAGAAGGAACCTGGTAACCTATAGCGGAAAGGCTGCTGCTGATGATGATGACCAAGCCCTATGCCGTTTTGACGCCGCGTTTAAAGTGCTGATGATGATTGGCAAGTGGCTGCCTAGAGTCCAGCAGCCCTGCGCCACCTTTCTGGTAGGAGAATAATATTCCTCAGCGTCTGCGTGATTGTCTGAGCTGATGCAACCTCCTCCGCCATTGACGTTGAATGAGTGGGTGTTTATTCCCTTCCAATGAGCAGCATTTTAGGCATCGTCTGGGGGCGAACCAGTTCGCCCAGCAAAGAGCCTCATTGTCTGCGCTATTGTTTGCCTACTTTTGTTTGCCTAATACAGCTTGGCCGCCGCCGACATCTGGGGCTATAAACCTTTGGCGAAGCATCCTCATTGGACGTTTCGATTTGTCTCCACTGCAATCCCGGCTGCTGCTCATGGGTATTGGTGTCGAGGTTATCGAGGACTGTTCGTTACAAGAAGCCAGTGCCTTGCTCTCGGGCTCTTTCGGTTATGATGCCGCTGATGTCGTACATCTCGAAGCTTTGGCATGTGTCGCAGCGACTTCCGCATAGCCGTGGTCATGATCGGCACGAGTAGCGTGTGGGTTAGACGTGAACCACTTGTTTGCCTTGCCGTCTGGGCCAGTCTGTAGGAATCGCGCACGATACTCCATACTTGATAGACAGGCCGGGTATGTAGGCACCGTTAAGCCGTCAAGCTAGGATCGCCGCTGATCGTCTGCTTCATGTCTTGTCAGCCTTGAACCTATCGAGGCTACACAGATGGCTCAGATGCAAAAGGACCTCATTTGTCTCGACCATAACTGGTCTTGACCTCGATGAACTTTCGGTGAGGTATGTAAATATCCTGCCCCGTTCGATCTTCCAGGGTTGTTTCGATCTATTATATATAAAGTCTCTTGGGTATGTGAGGAGGTTTGGGCAGCAATTGATGCAATGCAAGCTGTGTGTCTTTACTCATTGGCTGAGAGAGTAGGTAGCCAACCAAACTGGTGCCACGTTTTTGCTACCACAAGCATGAGTTTATGCATGCTCATGCAGTTGCAAGCAACATTATAATATAATGGTAGTCGCCACGTGGGGGCCAGAAGTACAAAGTAGGCATATAGTCTTTTTACATAAACTACCTACCAACCAGACAACCTATTGGTTGCAACACCCTTAAACAGGTATTCATAAATTAGGCCTGTATGATGCAGGTCAATGCTATCAGCAGTTATCCATGTCAATCCTCGTTTGCCTTTGTCGTGCATCATTTACATCTCCAACGCACCTGCATCTGACAAGGCGCAAAAATCAGGCTATGCAGGCAATCGGGACAGGCATTTGTACACAAGAACCCGATTTTACTGCGTTCCCGTCAGTGGCACTGCTGAGGAAACTTGAACTCATGAACGAGGCTGTCTGGAATTATGCTGTGCCTCTTTTTAGGGTTGTCAGTGTCACTCTGCTGTGTAGCCGTGACTTACAATAAGATGTTCACACCACGGCAATGCGGAGAAACAATGTGGTAGACAGGCTCGCACAACAAGTGGCTGCTCATCATCAGATCAGACACGCACTTGCGGCGGATTGCCTTTTTGGCGGCATTGGGCCACCGAAAGTCGGATGCAGTCTACATGGATAGCTGGAAACTTGCCTGTAAGGTTGCATGCATATATGCATCTTCTTATCGCATTGCGCATTGTGGTAACAAGATAGAGAAGTCTGCCTTGGCTTCAAATAGTGGACGTGTTGCATACCGTTATTATGGCCAACGAGAAGCTATAGACAGGTCATAGCGTATAACAGCCAGTAAACTGAATTTAAGCATAAATATCATAAAAGAAATACCTTTAAAAACAGAAAAAAAGAGAGAGAGAGAGAAAACAAAGAGGGGAAAAAAGGGGAAAAAAAGATTATTTCGATTTTTCATTATAAAAATCATAATTAGCAAATAATTAACAAAATATGAATATAACCAAAACATGCATATGAATATAAGCAAAAAAATGCGCCCATCGGGAGTCGAACCCGAGTCTCATGCTTGGAAGGCAAGAATGATAACCGCTACACTATAAGCGCGATCGTATTGCTATAATCGCTGAACTGCTGCTAGGCTGTTCTTGGAAGGAGCGATCCTAAAACACTCCATAGCTCTTTCCTCAAAATTGAACAAATGTGTCTAATGGAAAGTGGGAAAAAGGCGGGTATAAGTGGCTATAATCGGCTCTTTTTTTGCTGGAAGAGTATACGCAGTTTGGACAATCATGGCCATGAATTCTCGTGACGGTACCAGTCGCTCAAACATTAATAAAATTGCTGAATTCTATAATTAGCTTGTTGCTTTATCCAATTCAAGGGTCGATCATACGATGTTGTGGTTGAATACTTCGGCGAACGTAAAGGTAGTGTGTGGGGCAGCTACAGAGTATAGCGGAAGCTATCGAGCATAGTCGGATTCGATATATATAAAAATTAGCACGTATAGCACATCGAGATATTAATACAATTTATCATAGTACACAAGCTGGCTCTGACTTACTAACACGGATATGAGTTCTGTCTCGTAACTCGTACTAAGCCGGCCCCGGACGCATGTACACCGGAAGCCATAATGGCAATCGGGTCCAACAACCTTGACTAAGCGACTGCTCACCTGACGGAGGCAAGCGCATATTTTCATCAAAATCATCATGTGTACCAACAATCTGGCTAGCGGGGAATTGAGGCGACATTGGATGGCAAAGTTGTATTATGTAAATTATGCACCGTGTATATTGTCAGGCTATCAGTTTCTTCTTTCATTCCTCGGCATCATCCATATCCACATCTTCCGGCTTGTCCTGATTCTTAGAAGATAAAGCCCGTTGTCGACGGGTACTCGGTCGGACATACTCAGTATCCATTGGGGTTGAGACTAGATTGGACGGTTCCGATATCATTGAATCATCGTCAGCAATGTCGGCATTTCGAGACTGTGTACCGCCTCTACCGGTGCCTCTACCACCCCTTGAGCCTCTCCCGCGACCGCGACCGCGACCACGGGTAGAGCTGGGCTGCTTTGGTTGCTTTGGCTTCCTCGGTTCCTTTGGTTTCTTAGCCCCAGACTTCTTCTTTCCTTCCTCGTGAAGACGAGCAATGACGGTGACTTCATCAGTTTCACCCTTGCGCTTCTTGAGTGCAATGAACCTGGACAGGAAATCGCCCTGCTCGTATCTCTCTGCCGAAGCTCCAGGCTCTGGATCAGGCACGGCTGGCACGGTTTCATCGTCTGGGTCGGAAAATTCTCCATTCTCGTAGCGGTCTTTAAGCGTTCTTTGGACCTTGCCATCCCGGGGTCTGACGTTCTTCTCCGTCAGCATGATGCGTGCCGAGCTGGCTGCAAGCAAGTCGACGCCTTTGCCGAGCTGTCGAATGGCTGGCAACGGGTTGCTCTCGTCGCGCTTGGCAAACAGGAGCTCCGTGCCAATATTGCGGGCCCAGTGGCCTTCATAGACGCGGCCGCGGTATGCAATCAAAGGCGTTTCCGAGTGCAGCTCTAAAATCTGGAACTCGTTGAGGTCGATGGTTTGGTCTGCAGGATCCTGCTTCTGCTGGGCCTTTCCTTGCTCTAGTGCGTGCTCGCCGGCAGTTACAGCCTGTTCAGGATGAACTTTTTTGGGCTTCTGCTTGCACGTGTCGACAATTTCATCTCTGTCCTTGGCGTAAATATCGGTAAAAGCTCTCTCCTTGTAGTTCCCGCGACCGCTAGGAAGAGAAGAGGGCTGACGCGCGACAAAGTCGGCCTTGGAGAGGTCCAGAGTTACGTAGTATGTCTGGAATCCTGTCAGAAAAATGTGGGCAAGATCCTACAAAAGAAAACTAACCTCTGTCTCTGTTGTGGAATATTCATATTCGTATTCCGAGTCACTTTCGTGATCTTGAGAAATTGGGGCCACTCTGCTTCCGCTGGCAGTGGGCGCCTGAGTGCTAGCCATCTGAACGGTGGAAGGTGAGGCAACCTATCCTGGACTTTCGCATTTAGAACGGGTCTCCACACGCCTGATTGATTCTTTGTGAACGAGTAGTTGTGGTAGTGAATGCTTGGTCGTGATGATGGAATGGAAATGCACGGCAGTCTGCGCGATCTTCACTTGTCGGAACGCGAAGGTTACTGGCGTGAAAGACCAGCCGGATTGGCAAGTTACCTTACCCACAGCTGGTGCTAAAGGCAAGACAGCATGGTGCCCTTGCAGGAACAGCGCTGGGCGGTAGAAAATGGCAGAACGCGCCCTATGACTCTCCGCCGTGGTATTCCTTGGTGCAGGCAGATAGCGGGGTCTTTTACTGCCCCTCCATTGCAAAACTGTTGCTGGCCGGCGATTGACTCACTAAAAGTCCGACTTCGAACTGTGACTTCAACTTGTGACTGCATATAAATCTTTGGCTTGCCAACAACAACAATTTCCTGCCCCCCAACATTCGCTCATTGTAAGGAATTGAAGCTACAGGCGACTTGTATAACCGATCCACTCATATCCAAACTTTCGATCAAGTCAACAAACACTTTCAGTATGCCCGAAGTCCACCTTCTCGACTATGTCGCCGGCAACGTGCGGTCCCTCGTGAATGCGATCGAGAAATGCGGTTATACAGTCTCCTGGGTCCGATCGCCCTCCGAGGTCGCCAATGCAGACAAGCTGATCCTGCCGGGCGTGGGACACTTTGGCCACTGCCTGTCACAACTGGCTTCGGCTGGCTATCTCCCCGCGATCAAGGAGCACATTGCCGCGGGCAAGCCTTTCATGGGAATATGCGTGGGCCTGCAGGCGCTATTTGAGGGATCGCTGGAGGACCCCGAAGTGGCTGGACTGGGAACGATCAAGGGAAAGCTGGACCGGTTCGATGACTCCCAAAAGGCGGTGCCGCACATTGGCTGGAACAGCGCAAACTCGAGCAGCAAGAGCCTGTACGACCTGAGGCCCGAGAGTAAATACTACTACGTCCACACATACAAATTCCCATACGTACAAGGAGAACTTGAGAGTCAAGGCTGGACGGTTGCAACGGGCACATATGGCAGCGAAACATTCGTCGGCGCCGTGGCAAAGGACAATATTCTGGCAACACAATTCCACCCAGAGAAGAGCGGCGTAGCGGGTCTCCGGTTGATCAAATCCTTCCTCACAGGCGAGGGCGCAAAAGCCCTGGGCCAGACAGTGACGGGTCCCGCGCCGACAGGAGGTCTCACGAAGCGAATTATTGCATGCTTGGACGTACGGACAAACGATCAGGGCGATTTGGTAGTGACAAAGGGCGACCAATACGATGTGCGGGAAAAGTCCGACGATCGCAACGTGCGAAATCTGGGCAAGCCCGTCGAGATGGCCAAGAAATACTACGAACAAGGAGCCGACGAGGTGACGTTTCTCAACATTACGTCGTTCCGCGACTGCCCTGTCGCCGATCTTCCCATGCTTGAGATTCTGCGCAGGACATCCGAGACAGTCTTCGTGCCCCTAACTATTGGTGGCGGTATTCGCGATACCGTGGATACGGACGGAACCAAGGTTTCGGCACTCGAGATCGCCACCATGTATTTCAAGTCGGGCGCCGACAAGGTCTCAATTGGATCCGATGCTGTGCTGGCTGCCGAGGAGTACTATGCCGTCGGCCAGAAGCTCTTCGGCAATACGGCTATCGAGCAGATCTCCAAGGCATATGGCAACCAGGCCGTCGTGGTTTCCATCGACCCAAAGCGCGTCTATGTGCCCAAGGCCGACGCCACTCGCCACGCAACCATCAAGACGGCGTTCCCTGGCCCCAAGGGCGAGGAGTTTTGTTGGTACGCGTGCACCATCAAGGGCGGTCGTGAGACGAGAGATATGGACGTCGTTGAGGTCGTCAAGGCCGTCGAAGCCATGGGCACTGGCGAGATCCTGCTGAACTGCATCGACAAGGACGGCACCAACTCTGGTTATGATCTGGAGCTGATCACGCAGGTCAAGGACGCCATCAAGATACCCGTTATTGCTTCGAGTGGTGCCGGTAACCCAGCACACTTTGAAGAGGTATTTGCCAAGACGAGAACGGACGCTGCTCTAGGTGCCGGCATTTTCCACCGTGGTGAGTACACGGTGAAGGAGGTCAAAGACCACTTGGCACAAAAGGGGCTGGAGGTGCGGCAATTCGAAGGTAACCTATGAGAGCATCTACCGTACATGACGATCAAAATACGCAAAATTCAAAAGAGATTACAAGTCGCATTCGATGTGCTGGCGAATATCAGTAATATAGAATAGGGGACATGGCCTTCACTGATGAGCTTGCGGATGAGCTTCATAGAGTAACTAGTAAAAACGGCATAGAATAGACCTTCTTGATTTGGAAACCCATGTGTATTGATGATCACATTTAGAGCTCAAACTAGACTACCTTTTGAAAACTCCGCGACTCCATGCAATCGTGAAACTGTAACGCCAAACAAAACGCTGCAACCGTGAGTCTGAAGTTGGACTGTGAAGAGAGGTGCTCCCAAGTAGCGCGCTTTTCCATTTTACCAATGACATGCCCGGAATGCGCAAAATGCTAGCTCAAGTGCAGATTGTTAAAAGTGACAAGAAACGTAGAAAGACAGACTTGAAGCCCTCACTGAGCCGCAGCGTTGAACTCATTGAATGGTGTTTCTGGTTGCGAGTCCGAAAATAGGCGGACCTACGAGCTCCATTAGGAATCCGCTCAGTCAGAGATTCAAGTCGTCGACAAAAGAGATCAATCAAGCAGAAAAAGTGGGCAGGACAAAAGGAGATGCTGAATCATGGAAGAACCCAACCGCAAGTTCGGAACGCCGGAACAAAGCAGAATTGAATCAGATCAGACCTCCATGGCCATGAACAACCACCTGTCGCTAGTCACATCGACGTCTTTGGCCCAGTGGTCGAGGGTGCTCAATTCGAACCCAACCCACTGGAAACTTCTCATTAAGCTTTTGACTTCATCTTCTGGAATCATTCTGTCAAGGCAGATGACTACCTGAGAGCATTCGAAAGGACCTTCGGCAAGGTCTATGAATGCAATCAATCTGAAAATTTGTTAGCATCAAGTAATTGACAAGTAGGTAATGGATAACCCTTACGCTTTCTTTAGATCTCTTCCCATCAGTCCTGCGTCAAAGAAGGCAAAGAGACTTCTCTCTTCACCGTCCTCGGCCACAAATGCTCGGAAACTTGCACCTCCAGCGTAATCCCAGAATTCCAACCATCCACTGACGCCGAAGGCAGGTTTCACAAAACCGTCGGTGCTGGAAAACGAGGATGGAGGAGTTGGGTAGTCGGCTGGTGGTGTATTGTAAACATCCATCAGGCTGGAGCCATTACTGGCCATGTTCCCCTCAACCTGGAACACGGATCTCATGGTCTCACAAAAGAATCTCTCACATTCTTCCCTGATTAGGTATGTTGCCCCCCCTCGGCGGCGGCCACTCGAGGTGGCGGAGGACGCGGAGCCACGCTTCTTCTTGGGCTGAAGAGCGAGCTCATTGTCCTCGGTGAAGGCCGCGAGGGGGGGACTTGACGGAGGGGATGGTAGTCCTGAGATAGGAACCTCAGGAATACCACTCTGCCCCTGCAGCCAGGGTAGTGCAGTAGTGGAAGCCCTTCAGCGAGGCAGAAGGGCTGACAACATAGCAACTGGCGAGGACGTTGGCCTGACGAGCAACAACCTCGCCATAGTTACTACTATGTAAATTATTACTACTGTTTTTCATTGGCGCCATGGCAACTGAGGGACTCCAGGGTTGTCGTTGGGAAATGGGTTTCGTGGTTGGGTTCGGGGGTGCGCTAGGGCAGAGACGACAAAGTTGTGCGCGAGAATTGATTGAGGATCGTGCCGAGGTGAGAGGGCAGATGAATGCGATGGCGACTTGTTCGTGGTGTTTCGAGCTGTAGCTGGAGAATTGAGCGTCGAGTAACTGACGGAAGGCCCGAAGGTCTGACAGTAGCGAATTGCGCTGACTTTGGGTTGGCGAGCCTGTGTGCTTAGGAGAACCGTGAGGAGAGTGAAACAAACCAGTCGAGGTGGCGGTCAATTTCCGAGGGAAAGAGGAGAAATTTTAGTACTGGCTGGCAGGTTTGGGCCGGACCACAAAGGAATAAGCAGGGGCCACCAACAAGGTTCCTCTAGCTTGCTCCGTAAGCATTGAGCAGGCGCTGTGGCCCGCCGAAAGGCCCCCGAGCCCCCCAGCTTGGTTGGCTCATAGGGCGCTTGTGCGGCCCTGTAGGCTGCGCAGACTTCGTGGAGGGCATGCATTGGAGTCCTCAGCGTCCAAATCCAGGTGGCGTTAGCACCATTGCAGGTCTTCTAGTGCCCACCCATATGCGACTCCACTCGAATAATCTCGAATTTCGGTTGCAATGCTCCCTGCTTCCAGACCACATGCTCAACCTCTGCAGTTGCTATTCGTCCTTTTAGGTTTGGCAGTCAACCGTCCAGCGTTGGAGATGCGCACTACACTTAGCCATACCTACCACACATGCTGTGTAACATCTGTTTGAGTTCTGGGGAGCAGTATAACAAATTATCTGAATATCGTAAGACATGAGCTGGGTGGCAAATGAATGCATCCATTGTGCCTCAGATTCAACGAATTGTACACGTAGAACGATGTCTGTGGTCTTACGACTATGAGATCTACAATCTCCATTGCGACAACTGGGGACAACTTGATGCAAAACTCCACCTTGCATTGCCGGATACCGTTCAATGACCAGGCAAATTATGGCTCCGTATGACATTCCTGGTGCCATTTCAGTGTTGCTTGCAGTGCTGTATGGTAACACTTTACACTGCACCTCGCTCGACCTGTCGATAGCTAACACGCTACTCAGGCGGACGACGAACAAAATATTGGCGATGCCTTGTGCTCCAACTAAAGGGGCTGTCGATCTTGACCACCTACCACATTAGTCGATCGCTAGAAACGGCCGCGGAGATTGCTCAAGTTCGGGCGATCGAGGTGTAACTATTTTGGTTGCATTGTCCTCTACTACTGGTGTTGCTCACTCCCGCCGGTGCATGCATGGCATGGAGATCCAGAGTGTGGAACTCAATAGACTTTCCAAGTAAAAACACCCTTGTTCAAGCACTAATGCATGGTTGAAATCTTATAATACTACATACAGTCTTTCGTCTTGTAATACCAATCAAGATATAAGCTACTCACAATGGAGATTTGTGCCCCACGTAGTAGCTTTCGATTATCATAATGACCATAGTGTAAATTGTGAGTCTCACAGAACAGATACCCTCCTGGAAGTATGTGGGATCTACTTGAGTTTGAATGACATATTGATACAGACGAATGGCCAGCGGCGCGTACTACCTGGGTAACTATGGAGGAGCCAAATTTATCCAGGGATCAGACTAAAAGAACCAGACAAAGAAGGAATTCAAAGAATGATAGTGCGGCGCGGGCTATGGTTAGGAATCTTCTACGCGCTTGGTAATCTTCGTCCAACTCTTGAGCATGCTGGTGCTCCCTCTTCAACTTCTCAAGACGCTGCTCAGAGACGGTAGGATCGGTGTCACTAGGTGAAAGAAGAGAGTGAGGAGAGGAGGGAGAGACGGGGAATCGAATCATATATTACGATCTTGCCTTCATATGATTATAAGCATGCTAACTTTCTGAAGGTGATGTAGAGTAGATGTCAACAGACAGTAATAAAGGCACGTTTTGATCAATTAGCTTCTATTTCAAGCTCCTTGCGTATCTCCCTTACGGGATAATTCCAACTTCTAGCCAGGCGTGCAATATGAATATTTCACCCAGGTACATATACATATACCTAAGTATACATCAATTATTCAGGAAGTGGAATAAGTTTGTAATGAGCTGGCCAAATCTTCTTAGCTTAATCCATCATGTCCGAGTTGGTGTTTCCTCTCAAAAGACAACCCAGAATACTTGACTATACTTGGTTTGCGGGGATAGCAGACAATTCTCAGCAACTTGTGTGTTCCATTGCAAAAGTATGAGTCAGTTGGCGATCTACCCACGAGGGTTGGAGTATAGTCATAATTTTCGAACTAAGGATATCATGTACACATGTACACCACTCACTGGCCATCTTCATGATGGCAAAGTTATATGAATTGGTCAACAGCAACTTTGCGTCTGCCGGGACGTGGAGGCAACACCACAGTCTCAATTTCGAGCTTATCCATCATATACAAATGATACAATTGTTCACTTAATCCATTCATATGTGCGATAAACAGAGGCTTTTTCATCACGGATGACAGAAAACGCCCCGAAATCGCTTGGCCAAAGGCGGAACCTTCGGTTGTGCGGCAGGGCGGAGAGGATCAGAGCGTGGGCTCGCTGCAAGGCCGGCAGTGATAGCGGGCGTTAGTGCTTCCCCACCCTGCTGTCACACTCACATACAGAGCATGTCCCTACAGAAAGTCTCAACTTGGATAGCGAGGATGCATGTATCCAACACTCGCCCCATGCCCACTCGTGTGTCGGATTTGACATAATAGACCTTGGGAAGATTTTACTGGACAAGCAGACTTGTTAGCAGATAACTTTCCTAGGGTATCTTTTGAGGAGCTTGGTGGGTTTCGATCTCACCACCCTCCAGGGCAGCGGCTGCGGTGTGACACCATGATGCGATGGGCACGGGAACAGTAACAGGGACAGATGATCGCCTGAGCCGTTTACTTTATAATATTCCCCAATACCGCCCCTGTGTCTGTTTCAGCAAGATTGCAAAACCCAACATGCTCTGCACATTTCGTGATATTTTGATGATAACTTATTCGTCTTTTGGTGGTTTGCACCAAGCGCTTCCCCTCGCACGTCAGTGATGCGGGGTTCAGTATCTTGCATACTACCTATCTACAGATTACACTTACACAGCCAGAAAGCTCCCCTCCCCCTCGTGACGTCGGACGAGCCCAACGGGCCCGACACCCTTCACTTAGGAACGAGATTCCAGCCAGGCCATATTTGAACACATGATAGTGCTCTTATCAGAACGTTGAGAGCTTTCCAAATCATTGCCTTGATTCTTGACGACATATCTTGGTGCCTACCATACAATACTGCCCATCATGGCTGGCGATACGACTGCAACCAGCCCGGTATCGAGGTTTCCTGTCTATCTTCTACCCAGTTTTAATATACCTTTTCGACGACGAAGACAAAGTTCCGTCTCGACCACAAATTACGGCAGTCCCCCAAGCGACGCGCTCGTCCCGTCGCTCGGGAGCTCGCCCACCGATTCGTCCTTGTCTAGTCCGCTCGAAAGCCCGCCGACAACACCATCCTCTTACTTCCCATCCCGCTTCTCCTTCTCCAAGATTGGCCGCTGGGCGACAACAAGCGTAGACCCCCATTCACATGTGACCACAAAGCTCACCCAGACACAACCCAACACCATTCGCTGCTCACACTGCTCCACGGATTTCGCATTCACGTCGCAGATTGTCAGCAAAGGATTTACCGGACGCTATGGCCGGGCATATCTCGTCTCGCCGCCGGAAAACACAACTGGCAGCAAGGGCACGGCCGACTTGGTCAACATACTTGTCGGCAAATCAGAGTCCCGCGTTCTCGTGACCGGATCTCATGTGGTGGCCGACATATCGTGTGCCATCTGCCGTACAAAAGTGGGCTGGAAATATGTAGACGCCAAAGAGGAAACGCAAAAGTACAAGGTCGGTAAGTTCATCTTGGAGACCGCAAGAGTTGCAGACTATCAGTCATGGGAAGATATGGCCCTCGATGAGTTGCCAGCTCCCGCGGAAATTGCCACACGCTCTTCCGATGTGGACAACGAACCGATTGTGTTTGACTCGGAAGATGAGGACGAGTGTGAGGATATCTTCTCAGGAACTTGGGATCCCGAGGTTGCGGCAAAGAGACGATCCAAGAAGGTCAACCGAAGGCCCAGGCAAGCTTTCTGACTGATACAAGGGAACGTATGAGGCGTCAAGTACAAGCATCTGAGTTGCTTCTTTTGGGGTCGGAGTTTTTGTCTTTGAACCTGGCCATGTTGTGACAGGATATATCACTTCAGCACATGTACCCAATATGGTGACTATGGCTCAAGACGAACGACTTGCTTGGGGTGGTGATGTTTTTTTGGCGTGGGTTCGCAGCACACCGGAGGCGTATTGGCATTGCATCTATATTTCTATGATACCCTCATTAACCCTACTAATTCAAACCAATCGCTAATTCGACTGCCGTGCTGGGCCTACGTGTCTGTACGGACCATCCATGTACAATTGCTGCCCTCACGATGAAGCCCCTCCATTTGTGGATGGTGGCTGCGGAGGAGGCGGCGGATTGGCAGTTACTTCCAGCGTCACCTGAGGAAAAGTCTTAGTATTACATAGTATGTCTCTATTCGCTTGGTGTACGTGGAACATACCGGACCGTCATTCACGAGAGCGACTTGCATCATGGCTTGGAACACACCATCTTTTACCTTTTCCGCTTGGTAACCTTGCTGGACCTTTTGAAAGAAGTATTGGTAAAGCTTCTTGGCCTCATCGCCGCCCATAGCACCATGGAAATCAGGCTTGTTTCCTTTTTTTGTGCTTGCCAGCAATGTGAATTGAGATACTGTTGCCAATAATCAGTCTTATTGGTCATAGGACTGTGGGTCGCGACCTTGGAAATTGCTTCAGATGGGCATGCAACTTACCGCAGAGAATCTCACCGCCGATATCCTGCACGCTGTGCTTCCACTGCGAGGTTCCACGACGTATCAGATATCAGTTGCCCACCCGTGATACGGGACAGGAGCACTTACCCGGCCACCATTGTCGTCATCCCATAACTTCAGCTTCACGATCTTCTTGGCGAGCGAATCAGCCTCCTTCTCGGTGTCTCCCGGTGCCATGGCAGCCAAGACCAAAATGCCCTTGCCGATGGAGGAGACGACCTCCTTGTCCACGGTGACGGAAGCTGACAGAACCCGTTGCAGAATTGCTAGAAGACGGAAATCACAAATAAACATACAAGGGCCTCAAAATTCTTGAAACGAGGAGTCGAGAGGGTCATGTCTTACCCTTCATGTTGAGATGCGTTGCCGTAGATTATCCAAGCGAATAAGCAAAGTATTTCTGTACAGCGGGAATTTGCGTTTGAATGGATATGGCCCGAACAATCTTGTGATCCGGTTCTCAAGAGCTCTACAACAGCGATGATTGTTGTGGCAATAGCCAAAGTTGCCAGACTGAGTATACAGAACGCCACCTAGCTCATAGGGTTAACATTGCACTGGCATGATTATATTTGGCAGCGTTGTTACCTGTATTAGGGCAATATATAATATGATCCGAACGCGATGTCACGTGGCGGCAGATACAGTTCAGATGCGTTGCTTCTGTTTGGTCGAGGGCGAAGGGACAGTAGTAGAGGATATGCAATGACGCCTTTTGAGTGGTGAGTTTTGAGAGTGGCGCGTTTTTAAATCATCTGCTAAGCCGTTAGACAAAACCTACATGAGATACGATGGGTACCAAGTGATAGATGAGTTCTACTGATAAGCTATGCAAGTAACATGTGTATATAATTATAACTAGCTGACACCTCAGCTAGTTCCCTTTTTGCTTACGCAAAAAAGGAAGGGACGACAGCAAGATCGTGAGGAATAGCAAGATCGTGAGGGACAGCAAGATCGTAAGGAACAGCAAGATCAAGGAACAGCAAGATCGTCAATTGTAAGAAAAAAGAAAAAGAAAAAGAAAACCAACCGCCAGCTGACAAAACAGGTGCCAGTCCAGTTCCCAGTCCAGTTCCCAGTCCAGTTCCCAAGCCAGTTCCCAATCCAGTTCCCAATCCAGTTCCCAAGCCAGTTCCCAAGCCAGTTCTACAGCCAGTTCTACAGCCAGTTCTACAGCCAGTTCTACAGCCAGTTCTACAGCCAGTTCTACAGCCAGTTCTACAGCCAGTTCTACAGCCAGTTCCCATAGATAAGAAAGATAAGAAATAATACAATTTAGGACTAAACGTGGCGTAAAAGCAGGTCAGAAAAACACACCTTCGCAACGTTGCGAAAGCATCAAATCAACCCCGAAAGCCTTAAATTTACTACCGATCAATAAATAGCAATAGTTTCTATCGTTATACTTAATGCATCCAGATTTGAAGCCATTTTGAGGGCGCGGGAAGGGTTCAAAGTCTAAAAAAGCAAAACGATCGGGCCCGATTTTACTCGAATATAGCCGTGTGGTTGGTCAGCTACGCCACGCCAAGAAATGTGGCCGTACACCTGGAATACTATAGAGTATGATAGAGTATGATTACAAATACCAAAAAACCATTACACCAGTAAAGGCGCCAGGGAGATTGAAGCATAGATTGACGACAATGATGGAAATGTGTAAAACCTCGTTTTCAAGGCGTTTGTGGTAAATCTCTGGCGCTTGGTCGGCCTCATGTCAGGTGTTGTTGACAATTACCTCAATGTAGGTACAAGCTAGGCGGCGTAAATGATGCAGTAATCTAACGCCTAGGTGATGTATGCAGCTTGCGACGAGTCAGTGTAAACACCAACCAAGGAGCGCAGCGTTGCACTGAAGCAAAGTGTACCTCAGCCGCGCGGTCCACTAATTGGCGTTGATGCAGCACCATTAGCCACCCGGATTGGGCGGCGTCAGTCGGCGAACGGGCTGTCTACTCCGGCAAAGCTTCAACCTTTGACCAGCTCAGCCTTCTGCAGCTCTCGGTAGGGTCAAAACGTAGTATTGTGCAAACGGGCGAGCGACTATTTACACCCACAACCAAGAAACATAACGTACAGAACATCTCTTTCTGCATGCTCTGAGAACTCAATTCGCCGGATAGGCACGTTTCCAACAACTTTCTTTTGCGACCACGAACTGGCACGTCGCCTATTCGTCGTCCACAAGGGAGTAAGAAAGAGATCAAACACCGGGAAGCCGCCGCGACTCAGCAGGCATCCTTTGGGCCATTGCAAAACGATCCATCAAGGCAATTCTGCCCTTTTCCATCCCCCATTCGACCTTGCCCGGGTTTTGGAGAGCGAGCGCATCTGCGACAAAACAATCGACTCTCATCACCCACCTTGCCGTACCTTGCGCCTGATCGTGCAAGCTGTACGCCAACCTTCTACACTTGACCACAACCCCCAAAACAGTGTATTCATTCAAGAACGATCAACCAAGACGGCGTGATAGCCGCAACCGCACAAGATGGCCGCGAGGAAACTGCAACAGGAAGTCGACAAGTGCTTCAAAAAGGTCGCCGAGGGCATGGCCGATTTCGATGCGATTTATGAGAAAATAGAACAGTCCACAAATCCAGCGCAAAAGGAGAAGCTCGAAGACCAACTGAAGCGGGAGATCAAGAAACTGCAACGGTTACGAGATCAGATCAAAACGTGGGCTACAGGCAATGACATTAAGGACAAGCAGCCGCTTTTGGAGCAGCGCAAACTGATCGAGACGGTTGGTGGCCAGAAGACTTGACAAGACTCGACCTCATCCCCCTTATGCTAATCTGTCTGCTGTAGAAAATGGAATCGTTCAAGGCTGTGGAAAAAGCGATGAAGACGAAAGCCTACTCCAAGGAAGGTCTGTCGGCCCAACAGAAGCTCGATCCGAAGGAACAAGCCAAATTAGATATGAGCGAATGGCTAGCCGGTCAGGTCGAGGAGCTCGAACAACAGATTGAGTCGCTCGAGGCTACAAGCGAAGGTATACAAGCTACGCTGAAAAAGGGCAAGAACCAGAGAGAAAAGCAGGAACGTGTCGCCAACCTCGACCACCACATCGAGCGACATAGATGGCACATAAGCAAACTCGAACTCATCAGGCGATCCTTGGAAAACGGCGGGCTCGAAGTCGAAGAAATTGATAACATCAAGGACTCTATCGAGTACTATGTCAAGGACAACCAAGCAGATGACTTCATGGAGGATGAGGAAATGTACGAAGACCTGCATCTGCAAGACGAGGAGGAAGCTTATGGCATTGGACACGAGGGAGATAAGGGGTCGTCTCAAGAAACGCAATCCGTACAGGACGACACTCCGGAAGTTGAGTCGAGGCCTGCCAGCTTGCCGAGCACGAAGAAGCAGACTTCCGCCGAACCGACAGCTACCTCGGGACGCAGACCTTCGACACAACTCAAGTCCCCCCTACCGACGCTCGCCACTCTACATAACCCGTCTTCTTCAAGTTCAACAAATGGTGGCGCAGCGGTCGCCGGTGGTATGAAGCCAGCGTCCGTTCCGCCGCGCACAGAAGGTTTGAAGTATGCTTCAGCGGCTGCAGCGGCTGCGAAGGAGAATAGTCTAGGTATTGCGCCACTGCCTCCGCCGCAAGGAGCTCCGCCTGTGGCTGCAGTGTCCAGCATCTCGCAACAGGCGCGGTCTAGTGCGGCAAACTCGCCGAGCATACCGCCGATACAACCTGCTCCCTTGGAAACGAAAACAGGGGCTTCTATTGCCCAAGTCGAGACAAAGATTCCGGACGCCACACCCGCTACACCCGCACAGTCTAAGAAGGCAGAGAAGGCAGCGGCCAAGGCGGCAGCCAAGGCAGCAAGAGAAGCAGATGCTGCCGAATCTTCGAGAGCTTCGCAAGCCAACGGCCTGGCCAATGGCGTCAAGTCTACACCAGTTCAGGAGGATAAGGAAGAAGAATGCGTCTATCACCTCCCGGCATCATTGTCAGACCTTGTGGAGTCTTTCGAGATCACCAAAAAGCGTAGCCTCCAGGTGAACGCCCCTTCACAAATGCGGATGCTGCAAGTGTCGCAAGCAAATACGCCAGATATCGGTGACGCAGAGGCTCCTCGGAGGTATAAGCCTGATCAGCGCTACCCGTTCCCAACTCAGTACCCTCAAGAACCGCTGGCTATCTTTGATGATCCACGGCTTTATGCCAAGATTGATCCTGACACGCTGTTTTACGTATTCTACTACAAGCAGGGGACATATCAGCAATATTTGGCAGCCAAGGCATTGAAGGATCAGAGCTGGCGATTCCACAAGCAATATCAGACTTGGTTCCAAAGGCACGAAGAGCCCAAATCTATCACGGAAGAGTTTGAGCAGGGAACCTACCGCTTTTTCGATTATGAGAGCACCTGGTGAGTAACAGTCAAGTACGAGTTTCATGAAATAAGCTAATTTTCGTTCTCAGGATGAACCGTCGCAAGGCAGACTTCAAGTTTGCCTACCGATTCCTTGAGGATGAGGTATAATTCTGTCATCTCTGCAGAAATCAGCGTTGTGCCGCGATCGGATGTATTTGAGTGTGTTTGCTGCCAAACAAAATATGGGTGGTAATATTTCAGTCTTTGTCTTCATTTTTGATGGTGTTTGAGGAGTGTCATCCACGGTTGACCATGGTGGGTACGGAGGCGTCAACATCGTCACATTCGAGTCCACCTTGAGCTGGCGTCAAAGGATTGATCACTGGTTCAGATCGTCCTCTAGGTAGTTGTAAATCAATTCAGTCACGAAAGCGTAGTCTTTCGTTATTGTCGTTACTACACACTGCATGAAAACTCTTTTTGGTTGGAGAGATGTACCGTCAGGATCGCTCTTTGAGACGATGACGTTCTGAATAGCTTTACAATATGCGAGGCTTGTAATGGCGTGCGACAGTCTGCTTGTGACAATTATCAAGCTTAATGCACGTTTATTGCTTCTCAAATGAGGCGCTCATGCCTGGGTGCGAGGTTCGAGTCACTGAGTTGTCCAGGTTTTTTCGCGTTTCCAAACCAGCCGTTGTTCGTAGGAAAGTAAACCAAAAAGGGAAGTGATCAAGTAATACTAGATTACTAGGAAAAGAAAATGCCTTGACTCATAACTCGTTGCAGTCATGGGAACCTTGATTTCAACAAATCTTGAAGATCAAGAGAGAGAAAAAAAAAAAAAGAGGGAGGAACCCTTAGGTTCCTCGAGTCGAGCTTATCGTAGGATCAACAGCCAGGATTGACCAACCCAGGGTATCAGGAACTGACAGGCTGTTGCCATTAAAGGCAGGAAGGGGTGCCGGCCGGACCACTACGCCATCTTGCCAGAAAGCAAGCTGGAAGCCAGTTGTCTGAATGTTGGAAATTCTTTGCATTATTGGAAACCATATGGCCTGCAAACGGGGCTACGCAGGCAACATGGCCACCAGTATGGGATTTCCTTTGACCACGTCGAAGCTTGCCTACACGATTTTATACAGCAAACGGACCAAGCTTGGGCAATGGAAGGAATGTCTCACCACACTACCCAGTTTACCCCTTTCCAGGTGCTACCTACGCATTCAGCCTCTTCTCGGAAGTTTTTGTATTATGCGAACGTTGCTTACATTGAGAACTGATTTCACTGAATGTATCCAAATAGGAAACATGTTATCGAAGCCGGCATTGCATCGTAAGATAGGCCAAGAGAATTAAGAGGCCCCAAACAGCACTACTCTCTTGGTACACTACTAAAGGCACGCAGAGTATATATTTACTTATTAGGGCTATGGCAGTATTAAACTTCCTTATTATCATCCGTCTCGTTCCATTCGTGAAAGGGTATATATCTAGTCCATTAATAAGAGCTTCACCAGACCACCCCACACCCCCATGATGTCTCTGATACTTTAATCTTCTCAAATCATAATGCTTGAAATCAAAGTCATGCATACTGGCCATAGAAACCAGCCTAATGTAATCCAGACTTCTCCGGCGGCATGGTACTTGGGTCATTCTCTGCCGTTACTCCACTGTAAGCCGGCCGTTCCTGCGGTCCCGTAAGCTGCTGGGCCATGGCCTCATCGTAGCTTGGTGGTGCGTCGTCGTATCTGGGTACTTCGCCAGGGGCCAGCTGAGGCGGGTAAAGAGGATCGTGCGGTGCGCCGGGCGCTGTCGACGCCCTAGGTGGAAGTGGTGGCGGCTGTGGTCTGCCCGCCGCGGCCTGTACGAGCTCCGGAGGCGGGGTGATGCCCGAGTAGATATCGACCTTGGACAACTTCAGGGGTAGGGAGAGCTGCTTGGGATAGGGTGCCGTGGCTTTGCCGCCCTTGATTGGTTTGCCCCAGGTGAGGGTGATGCGGAGCTCAATCTCATAATGGCGAGAGAGGTTGCAGGTGGTGAACGAGGGCGCTACAGTGTTTGGCAAAGGGCGCTCTGCCCAGAAGCGATCTGGCAAGACCGTCTCTGTGTCCACTGCGTCGTTGGGGTCTCCTACAGGTATAGCAAGATTGTTGGCGGACGCTACCACCCATCTGGTGGCCTCGGTATTTCGAGAGTCAAAGACACGAATGTGGGTGAATCCAAGAAGTGCAATCTCTAGCGATGTAAGATAAACCTGCTCCTTTGAGGGAGAAAGCTTCTTGGCAACCAACCGCAAGGGTATTGGTTGGTTACATGTTAAAATGCTCGGATATGGTAGACGGGCTGACATTTCCAAAGATGGCGGAATGAGCTCCTCCTCCTGAGCTTTCGTGTTGTTTTGGAAACCAAAGAATGACGTTCTTTTCTTGATAACCTCAGGCGTGCGAGGATCAAATGTGAAGGGCCGCCGCGCAAAAGCCTCCTGTTTTGTTATGGGTGGACGTGGTGACTCTATTGGCAGAAACTTGAAACCAATCTGATAGCGCCAGTTTTCCTTGAAAAAGCCAGGTCTTTGAATGGTGACTTTGATGTAGTATCGAATCTCAGCTTTCCGCGGGAAGCCAGTGAGAGACGGGGGCAACGTAGCCCTCACATGCTGGAGCATCAGCTGTTTGCTACCATCCATGGTTCGAAAGCCTGCAAAGCCAAGAAAGTTGGCGCTGCCACTTGGTCCCCCGATCCCGCCAATGCCGTTCAGCGCCGCCATGGCTGTTGGGTTGCCGCAGATATTGTTCAAGGGCACCTTGAACTTGAAGGGAAACTCGTGTTGTCCAGGATACATGACGCCTGGCATGCCGCCGACGGGTGAGGCCGAGGCAGCTGCATCTGGATAGACTTGCTTGACCAGATAGAGCAGCTTGTGGGTTTCGGATCTGTAATCCGTGGGGAAGTGAGAGTTGCTGTAGTTGTTAACAGCCACGCCGCGATCGTCAAGATCCAGCGCTGTTCTCGAATCGCCCTCTAACTTGACAACAATGTTACCAATAGTCTCTGGTCGATTGAGGCCGAGAATTATGCGGCCTTGTATAAAGTCCAGGTTCGTATAGAACTCTGGAGGATTGTCGAGGGCTATTCGTATCGACATGTTGATGCTCTGCGATGAATGACGACTTGTCTCCTTGCCCAGACTCCTGGGAGAAGTCTTGAATATGCTGAGCAGGTTCTCACCCGGGCAGCAACCACCTAACGGATTGGGTATAAAGTGACTAAAGTTTCGAGTATGAGCTAGATTTCTAAATGGACCAGTCCGGTAGTTTTACAGCGGGTTGACGGATTTAGAGCTGCACGGTAATCGCGCTTCCACGTCGCATGTTTGATTATTATGCGTAAGAGTTTGCCCTCCCAAAACGACCGAAAAAAGTACATTAAAAATGTCCCGTGGCTTCTGGAAAGCTCGGAAGGTGTGAGACTCTGCTGTGGCCAATATTCTTGCTCAGCCTCAAAGTCCAACGCGTCTGGGGTCTCATTCATGATCTTGGTTGCTGTCGGGTCTCGGCCTGTAAGGAAGCTGCTGGTTCCTGTGACGTAGGGGCATAGTGGGGAACGCCATCGGCTTATCGGTTATCGAAAGTATCTAGGGCTAAAGAGGTATAGTACACGCTATTAGTTGCATCAACTCTCTATGCTCCAATTGCTGACTTGGAGACTGGAAGCTAAAGTAGTTGGTGATTCAGATTAGGCAACAACTGCTCATCCATTCCTATTCAAATCCGTTGGTGTTGTGAATATTGTATAACTGGTCATTCTGTCTTCTCTTTACTACTCTACATTATATCTCGTCGTGTCTGAGGAATTGTCACATAAGGAGACGCAACAAGTGGTTCATTATGCGCACCTCCAAGCTGTTGCTTGCCTTCTCCTGTCTCTTTAGCCCATCATGGCAGACGCACACCTACATAGGATGTTTCGTTGATTCGATGGGCCTCACAGATATCGGGCCATACACGTACTTGTCTCGTGGGCTATGCATCATGAATTGTAGAAGACACCACAGCTGGATTGTCGGGCTCACAAATGGAACGCGCTGTCTTTGTGGAAACACTATTCCGCCAATGGAAAGCAGGGTTGATGATACACACTGCAATAGAGCCTGCCCTGGTTATGCTCATGATACATGTAAGTGACCATTCCATCACGAACATTGGCCCTTTGCAGGCTAAACCCACTGTTATAGGCGGAGGTATGGGCTTTATTTCTGTATGGGCAAAGGAGCCAGAAATGGAGGAACAGTTGTCCGTAACGACATCAGAGTCCAGTCGAGTGGAGGCACAGCGTGTAATTAGCTAATCAAATGAGGAGGGGTTTCAATCAATTGCACTGCAAGAACCACCATTTTACCTCAAACAATATCATTATGGAGGATCTTAGCTGTTGATGAAGTTGAATTATTATCATTGCGTTAATGTCATTTATATCTCTATAACCAGTATGAGATACGCCAATAATTGCATAGTCTTCTTTAATACATTTCCACTGAAATACAGTGGTCAACTGTACATGTTTTGATGGACAGGTTTTGCATTATTGTGTTTCCAATAATTGGTACGGAATTCTTGCTGAGGACCGCGACTGTATCGATTCTGCCGACAGATTATCTGCCATTGGCTTTGGTTTTCGTGTGTCTCTGGGCAAACGCGTCTGAGCAGATCCTGCCAATCCCGCGTCTCAGCGTGGAGAGAGAATTCGAAATCTCAATATCGGAGATAGTGGTCGAGATCAAGACAACAGAGAGACTCGACTGGGTCATGATTCTTAGATATTGTCTTGCATCCAAATGAGGCTCAGGCTCAAACCATTACTGGCGGCAGCATGCTCCAGACCCGCGAGGCCCTCTCACTTTGAGGCTTGGTTGGCACCACTAGTCCGAGATGTAACGACATGCAGGCGGTTTCAGTCGCATCAAAGCACACAAAAGCGTTCGGAACCATTGCGCATTCTATTTTGCGGCTCCGATGAGTTCAGTAGCGCCAATCTCAGGGCTCTACATGAGGAGCAGCTCAGAAACCCGGGCCTCATTGAGTCCATCGATGTAGTTGTCCGTCCGGGGAAGCGAGTGGGAAGGGGCAATAAGAAAATACAGCACCGTGAGCTCTGCATTGCTCTCCTTTAAATACCTCTGGTCTGACAATACCTATAGCTCCGATCAGGGATGTAGCCACAGAGCTAAAGCTCACGATTCATGAGCGCGACACGTTCACAGGCTGGACTGTGAGTATTCAATCGTCCTGTTTCCAAGACGCTGCGTCGAGATAACAGTATTTCCCTGGAGTCCTCACCATTCTGACACCGCTGGGACACAGATGCCCACAAACATCAACCTCATCATCGCCGTGTCCTTTGGCCTCTTCGTGCCGGCGCGTCTGCTGCGCGCAGCCCGGTACGGGGGACTCAATGTGCACCCGTCGCTGCTGCCCGAGTTCCGGGGCGCCGCGCCGCTGCACCACGCACTGCTCGCCGGCCGCGCGGCCACGGGCGTGACGCTGCAGACGCTCGACGACCGCACCTTTGACGCCGGTGTCGTGTTGGCCCAGACCCCGCTGAGTGATGGCTCTCTCTTTGCCATTCCCCCGGGCTGTACCGTTCCCGAGCTGCAAGCCGGGCTCACGCCCCTGGCTACCGAGATGCTCGTCAGCAGCCTGCGCGAGGGCCGCCATGTTCCGCCGCACCGTGCCGTGGGCTGGCAGCAGCAACAACAGCAGCAGCAGCAAGATGGTTCTGCTTCTGGCTCCGAAACGCCCAAAGGACTGCTGCCAGACGCAACGGCCTGGGCGCCCAAGATCACGCCACAGATGCGGCAACTCGTGCCTCCATCTGACCAGGCGTCCCCAGCCTGGACTGCCCGCCAAACGGTGCTTCGGCAGCGTGTCATTGGACCTCTGTGGTGCAAGGCTCGGGAAGCGCATGGCAAGGTCAAACGGGTTATTGTGGACGATGCAATGGAAGAAGTCGCCGTGCCAGAAAGTGATGTGTTCAATCCTGAAAAGGGCCTCTACAAGAAACTCCAGATCCATCGCTCGAGTGGCCGCCCGGCCCTTGATGAGCAAGGAGGAGAGGATTCGATCGTTTCCGTCATTTTTTGGGTCCCGCATGACAGTGAGGATATATATCTCGTCGAGTCCCAAACAGCAGCTCTGAAAATAGGCCGACTGAAAATCGAAGGAGACAAGGCGAAGCCGGCGACTGTGGCCTTGGCACATTTCGAGAGCGAAGTGGTTGAACAGAACATGATAGATGCTCAGTATGTATTGAGGTGATGTACGAAGTATAATAGAGAAGTATCTCCATGTCGCATCAATGTTATCATGCTTCGCAAGAATCCACTGCCAAAATTGGTTTCACTGCAATAGTCATGAAAAGTTTGGTAATACAAGGTCAATTGTCTCTACTTCATCTCGGAGTCAATGCCTATCGTGGTGTTACAATGGTCAAGCCTCCGTATACCAGGTGGCGTTCAGATACAGTGCTCGGCAGAAAAGCAAAATAAGAGAGACCTTGATCGTCGTTCCTCATAACAATGTCATCATGCCAGAGTGTCATACGATCCCTCCCGAAACCGTGGTGTTTTTTTCCCTTTGCGAATTCAGCACATTTCTTTCATTTGATAGCACGTCAGGAGGGACCGTCGAGTGATGCTTATATCACTTCTTTTACATGTGCTTGTGCTTCTCGTCCATGGAGCTGCCAGCGCTGGAGGACGTCTCCGTCTTGGTGAGGGTGTCATCTTCCTCGTGCTCAGGCCCGTGGATGCTCTCCTCAAAGACGGGCTCGGGCTCATTGACCTCGAACTTGGTCTTGAAGTCGTGCAGGTGGTTGGAGTAGCCGCTGCTGTTGGATCGGCGGCGCTCGTTGGCCCACTTGAACTGCTCATCAACGACTTCCTCACCTAGGTTGCCCCTACCAGAGGGTTAGTTTGTTTCTCAGCTTCGAAATAGATTCATGTGTCTTGTTTCTCGAATGCATGAATGTGGGCAGCATAAAAATAGATATCTGCCCAGTAAACGGGGATGCAGCTCGGGGCGTGTAAGTGCACTTTAAAGCTTACCAATTGCCTCGGCCACCGCCATTCTTTTTGGTCTTCTTGGGGTCGACTCCAGCGAAGCCGTTCTGAGCAAAGAATTTGGGAACATTCTCCTGGGGGAGAACAGTGCCTTCGGCAATGCCGGCGTGGTCCTTCTCGTTGTACTTGTGGGAGCGAGTCACTATACTAGCGTGTTAGTCATGCTATATGATCCAACTCACGACGACATGGCACAACCACGACAGAATTTTGATAGTACCAGAGGCTATGATTCATCAATGAATGATGGAGCAAGCCAATAGTAACAACAATCAAATGTTTGTGGACTTATTGATGCCAACAGAATATCACTTGGTAGATGACAGACGAGAGAAGGAGCATTGCGGGGCAGCTAGCTGCTGATGACGGGGAAATAGCTTCCAGGGTGCTCACAACTTACTTTTGACAAAGGTGTTTGGTAGTACGTGATACGAGATCAGGCCTTGTGATGTCCTTTAAGCTTTGTTTGTGCTTTGGATGATGATCTTTGATGGGTTGAAGATCAAGTGAATGGATGGGTTATGTTGTTGTAGATGGGAAGGAGTTCCGGGACGAAAGCCGTTTGTCCAAGTTGGTTGATATGGGCAGTCAATGGGAGCTCCTCAATGGACGAAAGGGCGAAGTGGGGGAGGGGGGAGCAGTAACAAGCAGAGTCTATTAACTAGATCGACAAAGTTGCTACGCCTCGAGAAACAGCTAGATACCGTGACAAGAAGAGGGGAGGGAGAGGGGAGGAGCTGAAAGGTCTTGGAATCTTTTAGTTAATTAAAGTATCGACTACATTAGCTAGTTGGGTCGGCGTTTGGGGGGTTGCATCAGTGTTGGCGTAGATGATGGAAGAATGGATGACACTTTCTTCTGGTACCATGTTCGCTGTCTTGCCCGCCTTTATAAAAGCTTCCTTCAATGGAACGAGCAATGGATGGATGGGGGGGTTAAAGAGACGGAATCAATACGGCTTGGCTACATTAATTGGCTCTGATGGACATTGGAGTAGATGCAGCAGGTACAACATCGATACATTTGCCAATCAAACGGCTGATTGCAACTGCTGTTCTTGCCTGCTATGCCCGCCAATACGTATATGCAACAGCTGTCGTGCAACTTTAACGATCCTGTTGGTTTCCGACCTCCTCCAATCGATGGGGCCGCCATCGTAAGTTGTTAGTGCTGGGGGGGCCCCCTCGAGATGGAGACGAGGGGTCCGGCAGTCGCGTGACCTCAGGCAATCTCGCCTCGAAACCGCGTGAGAGCTACGACGGCTAGACCGGACCTACGATCACGACTCTTGTGAAGTGCTCAAAGGTCCCAGCTAAATCAATGTTTGTTTGTGGGTTGGCCAAATACATCTAGGATTGGTAGACAGAGGGAAAACAGCACTTCAAAGAGAAAGACTTGTTTCGGCTGTCTGGGTCAGTAGCATTGCTGGCTTAGAACACTGAATACGTATGACCTACCGACATACCAATGTAATGTCCAGTGCCTGTAGAAATGAAAGTACCACGAGGTATCCCGTAGATCCCTCAAAGTAAGGCATGCATGTACGTATCCAGTATCAGGAGTTCCCCACGAAGGAAGTGAGTGAGTGAGATCTTATGTAGGTTCTTGTATGTAACCTACCTACCCTATTACCAACCCTACCTGCATACATTCCTTTACCTTCCCTGTCCTGACCAAGCATCGTCGTCGATAGATGATGGCGGTAGTAACCAAATCATTAGCTGGCATGCCGCCAATCGGGGAGGGTTCTGGAGCATCTTTTCGTCCATGCTGGCTGATGGGGGAAGGGAGATGCTGAGCATGATCTTGCGAGCAGCAATTGTCAGATTTGCCATGGCAATGCCCTTTGATTCATGCCTTGGTGATTTTTGTACTCAAAACAGTACAATTGAGGTTGTTACTTCAAAGCTCTCTGGCTACTCAAGTCTACAGCTTCTCCGCTGAATTCAACGGCATGCGACATAAAATCCCCCGTGGTCAGAAGCAATGCAAGTTTATGTCACCGGTGGGTCCCATCGTCGTCGGCCAACTCCAGGTACCGTCAGTGAGCTGACATCGACCCCGTGCCATTTAAGGGTTGGTTTGTTTTTGGGGGCTCAATGGACTTGGCCAAAGCGGGTAACGAGAATGCGGGGAAAGTGGATCAGTACACCTTGGGCTTGCACATCCCTTTGCCTGCCTCCCAAATCCATGTTCCGCTGCATCCTGCCGCCAGCTAGGCTGACCACTGGGACGTTTTGCGACAATCAAAGGTAGCAGTCCATCTGAAATTAGAGCCGTTTCTTTGCTGCCACTTGGAACTGATTTCTCGGCCGGCTGCGATGGATACGCACTGGACTGTTCGAAACATGCATCTATTGAGAGAAATCTCTCTAGATGCAGAAGACTACTGACTCGCTGAGTCGGCGTCTCCATGTGATTGAAGGGCCCGGCCTGTTTCAAACCGTCTGCTCATGTCTGTTGATCTACTGGGACACTGGATACAGGTGTAGATCGTACGACGGAGCGTACAAACAGCCATGACCCGAAAGACGATGTCCTGATTTCCTTCTTGCTTTTCAAGAAAAGTTTACTTTTGAAATTGCCTTGGGGTCGGTTTACATCCCGTGTCTTGTGCCAAAAGGATGGGAAATCGGGGTCTAGCTCCAAGACTTCAGCGTAAAAGTTTCCGCTGGAAAGTCGTTTATAGTTGCAGTTTTCCAAACTGAGGGTCTTATTGAGGTTACTTTGTTATTAGTACTATTCCCGTCGGTAGAAAAACGTGAACACTTTGGCTTGGGCTAGGTCAAATGTCGTGCATCCCCCGATACCATCCCACGGTATTTTTTTTGCAATACGCCGCCCTGTCCATACTGTGACATCCAGGAATGTGTCGCCCAGATCCGACACTGTATTTGAGGGCACACGATACATTCCCGACCCAGGCATCTTTAGTCAACCACTGGGCAATAGCGACGTCACTGCCGCCCCCCCTGCGGAGATAGGTGAGGGCGACGAGGAAGGGGACCGCCGATGCCGGATCTGATAAGGGACCAGTTCTCAATTTTTTTTCTCCATCCACATGCAGGCGGCGCAAGTCAGATACCAGCATTTTGACTAATCCGTGCATCTCCGCTCGTTGGGAGTCAATCTGCCTTATTTGTAAGCGCCCTCATTCGCTGTCGCCGGACCCTTCACGATCCATCCTGCCTTGTCTCTAAACTTTTCCAACATCGATCTTTCTTGAATTGATTTTGCCCATTCCGGAGTAATCTGCCCCTCCAACCACCACTACTACTACTACTACCACCACCTCCTCTTCCCGAAAGCCCAGCCCAAACAAACCATTGCCAACCCCGCTATTGCCAAACCAACGCAACGAAAGAAAACCGCAAGAAACATCTTTCATTTCCCACGACAACTCAGATTGGTACAAGGCGTCCGAAAATCTCACCCCCGCGCGCGCACCCCCGGTCATCATGTCGCCTTCAACTATCATGATTGACACGAGCGACGACTTCGCCTTCCCCATTGCCAAGCCGGCGCAAAACGGCTCTGCTGCCGGGGCCGCTCGAACCCTCCTCCTTGCCCCGCCGTCGATTGCGAGCCACGAAGAGAAGCTGCGCCAGGTCTTGGCCGCCCACGACCGATCCGTGACAGACTTGCAAATGCTCGATCGCCTGTCGGCCGGTCTCGTCTCTCTCCCCGCCTCTACATACGATCTGATTCTTGTTCTGAGCGATGCCGACGGTACACGGTCCGAGTCGACTCTCTTGCTGAACCGTGACGTTTTTGCAAAGGTTGTGCCATCGCTCAAGGTCGGGGGCAAGCTTCAAGCACAAAACAGCACTCTGGGCCAAGGCACTGACAGCCCAGATGCTCGTGAAGCCGTGCTGGCAGGACTGGTTGCTGGCCCAGATGGCTTCACAAAGGCCGAAGAGGAGGAAGCAGCCGTACCGCTCAAGCTGTCCTTTGGCAAATCAAAGAAGAGAAGCGCCGCTGGCCCTCCAGTAGCTACCGTGACGGTAGCCGAGACAAACGGCGTGGACAAGAAACTCAGCATGGCGCCTCCGGTATCAAAGCCCGCTGGTGTTGGCTTTGTGGATCTCGAAGATGATTTCGACTTTGGCGATGACGATGACTTGATTGACGAAGACACATTGTTGACGGAGGAGGATCTCAATCAGACTTTGGCAGTCCGTAAGTCGTCCACATACCGCGCATATAGTCGATTGTGACAAAGAGCAAGCTAACATTTTTCCAGCGGCCGAATGCGTGCCAAAGGTTGGCAAGAGGCGGCGTGCTTGCAAGGATTGCACATGTGGTCTCGCAGAGAAGCTAGCTGCCGAAGACGCCAAGAAGAGGGAAGACGCAGACGCCGCATTGAAGTCCTTGAAGCTTGGCGCAGATGATCTGAACGAGCTGGACTTTACAGTACAGGGCAAGGTGGGATCTTGCGGAAACTGCTCGCTAGGCGATGCCTTCCGATGCGATGGCTGTCCATATTTGGGCATGCCGGCCTTCAAGCCTGGCGAGGAAGTGCGGTTGCTGAACAATGAGATTCAGCTATGAGTTTTTATGCATTTGGGATTGGTACAATAGCGGGTTATGATTGTCACTTAGAGAAACATGTCATGAAAAGACATTCGAGGGGGCTCAGGCATATATGGATCACGAGCCAGATTATGAATAGACCATGAATTCACATGTAATCATTTCTATTAGCAGGAATACTTATTTGTTGGGAAGGACAAGTGAACAAGGCGACCACGCAACTAAATCCGCCCCAATATCTCGTTGCTTCATGACATTGAAAGTTCCATCCATAAAGTTTCCATGCTGAGATGCCAAACGCCGTCTCTGTGCAATGGATTTGGTTTTACAAATCGATGATTTCTCCGGGTTTCTACGAGCCTTGTCGCTTGTAGCTTCGTCTTGTGCTACTGTTAAACATTTCCCCTCCGTTGTTCTCCTTGGTGAATTGCGGACTCACACTGTCACTATTTGCTCTATATCTTCGCTCGGCTGTCCCAAGTACGTGTCTTGGCACGAAGCGAATTCAATGTATAATTTCGACCACTACTCTCAAGTTCCCGGAGAGAGATGCCAAATTCTGGTTTGCTGATTGTTGCCATTTTCATCTTGTACAAATATCGTGGCCCAGCAATGTAGCAAGAGTGGCACAGTAACCAGCAGCATGACATGGTTTCTCGGCCCCATTCAATAAACTTGAAATTTTGATGTGAATCAAAGCTGGGAACCTGAATAAGTAGTGGTTCATTGTATTTACTCAACCTCGGGGTGCAAACAGGTTCCCTTGGGAATGCAGTGCCTTCGTGTCATGGCCTTGAACAAAACCACGGCCTCAAATTACGCACAATGTGGCAGATGTTTATATTGAATCCTCGGACATGACATTTATAAATCGCAAAGACACAGTCCATAGATCATCACGGCAAGGAAGGAAAGGCCAACGGCCTCCAATACACAATCTGATTTCATCATATTGACTGATCTAAGATACCTATATTCCGGCGATACAATGAAGAGCTTCATCGTATCCGCCCCGGAGTAGTTAGGAATCCGCCACTTTCTGCAGTCCGCCCAATTATGTATTCTCGCACGGCCGATAGACTTGATGCCACTCAGACCAAGATTGCACCTGTCTACGTTATGGTGCATCCCCGAAGCAAAGTCAAACCGCCTTTTCTGTGCCCTACAAGCCCAGACATTTTCCCCGTGAACTTGAATGTTTATGTCACTCCCAACGCCTTGCCTAGTTGTCATGCCCACGAAAAAAAATCAAATAAAAAAAATCAAACAAATCGCGTGTTGGGGTATATTGCGCGTCGTCTCTTCTCATAAACATCATTTGAAAGAATTTGCGTTGAAGCGCGTGTCGTAGAGTAAGCGATCGGCCATGAGAAAGTCCAGGAAAACCTCGTCTTACGACTTGAGTCGAAGGGCGTGTTCCTTTCTTCATCCCAACATGCTCTGAAAATTGTGAAGTATGTCAATCATCTAGACATATGACTTCTACTTGTGCGGTTCTGCCCCGCTGCTGGGCCACTTGATTCGTAGGTGGTCTGGATATTGGTGCTTTCTTGAGTGATCCATTCCTTGCCGGACCGTCGTCGTCGCTGTCAGTGTTGTCATCATCATCATCGTCCGGAATGATTGGAGTCCATGATCCATCCGTGGTCACCTGAATTTTCTTCACACTCAATAAATTTTGGTTTGCCAAAGCCCTTCTGACCTTTGCGAAGTAACCATCGATCCTTAGGCTACCAGGTCGCGCATCGCCTGAGCAGAGTGGACATTTCCATTTATCGACGAGCGAAGGCTCTTTGGGACACAGCTCGCAATCCGATGCCCTTTTGGCCCCACAGGTACATGACTTTTTGCCAGGACGAGTTGTCAACCAAGTCTCCAGGTCGAAGCACTCCAGATGCGTGCAACCTTTGCCTCGGACTGGCGTATTCCACAGGCTCATGCTGAACGGATCAGTAATATTAATGCTGAGATCGCTTGAGACCATGGCCAGTTCGTCGTCGTCACATGAGTTTGATGCTCCGCCTAAGCGATTTTGGATCACCACGCGCGTCTCTTCTGCTGGGATGACTGCCTCATCGGAAAGGTTAGGCAGTGCATACATAGAAGTGTGGCTCAGCGTCTCGATAACCTCCACGGCGACAAAAGGCATTCCCTTTTCAAATGGCTTTTGAACAGGTACCGACACTTTGAGAATATTCTCCCCAGCCACGACAAACCCTCCAACTTCTACGGGTTGGTCCTTGGAATGATGTTGTTTACGTCTGAACATTAGCGGCTGATTATTCAATTGCATTTGGATATGCTCGGGCCAGTCAGTCTCAGCAACGATCCAATCCTGCTCGGAGGGCACTCTTCCAACGCCCCTCGCAAAACAAACCCGTATTCTGATGCGTAAGGAACCGTCAAAGTAGAAGTTGGAAGGAGGGCCTAGTGCGTTTGCTGGGGAATCGCTGGAGAGTTTGAAAACCTCTGATTGAGTTACGTTGAATTGAAAGACGTGAAGATACTTCTGCTGGGGTATTGGTGAAGGGTCAAGCGCTAGATATTTGATGTATTGATAATACCGTTCATGCTGACTTGAGAACATAATACCTTTGAGGATCCTCCTGGGACTTCTTAAATGTGACTGGTGTAGTGACATTTCAAGCGACTTCCTGCTGTGAGCATCATGTGGATGCTGATCCTGTGGAATGCGTGTGGGGGGATGGCGGCGGAAGTCAGCGGTTGCCGTGACATGCATTCGGGCTGGAGGAAGCGATTGGTTGTTGGGGGTACTATTGTTCTGGCGGCCAAGGTCTGCATACGCTGCTGCATACATCGCAAGGGATGGCTGCTGCAGCTGCTGCTGTGATGGCGTGGGCTGAAGTTGTCGCACGTCGACTGCTGCGTTATTCAGACGTTGATTAGCACGGACATGTGCCGCGTATGACATCGCCGTCATATTCTGCTGCATCTGAACAGGCGACTGAGAGGTACCTGGCGGCAGATGTGGCGAGGACGGATTCGGCAATTGCGTTTGCTGCACAGAATTCATGTTATTTTGGACTGGTGATCCTCGCATCTGCTGGGGTAGGTTCATCATGTTCTGCATCTGTGGTGATTGCACAGCAGGTGCCTGCAAGTGGTGTGAGCTGCGCCTCGAGTGCAGTGCTGATGGAAAGCTTTGAGCCAAGTGTGGTGAAGACTGCGGGCTAGCACTGAATTGGGCCCCAGGAGAGCCCAGCATCTGGAGGAACTGCCCTTGTGCCATGATGGGCGATTGCTGAGGTCCTGTCGCGATTGGGGTATTGTTATTGTTCAACTGGCTAAAGAACGTAGCGTTTGTAGGCGAGTTGACAGCTCCATTACTTGCAGCTCGGTTGAAATGAGTTGATGGGACTGAGTATTGCTGGCTAGCAACGGTTGGAGCAAACACAAAGTTGCCTCCAAACGCACCGGTAGCGGATGCTTGACCGTTCGGAGCAGACACCATGTTCTGTGAAACTCCTGCTCCTCCAGACGCATGTCCTGTAACGGGAACATGGTTGTTGGGATGCCTCATCATTGTATTAGGTTGTTGGCTCAAGTGCTGTGGTTGGTAGGGCACCCGCTGGCGTTGCTGGAAAGCCTGACCAGAGGCGCGCGCCTGGGCTACGAGCATCTTATAGGTATGAATCAATTGTATGTTGCGTTGATCGTTGTGTATATCGGCCACGACTCTCGAGACTATGTTGCCGTTGCCATCGTTGTGTGCGTTCTGATCCGTTTTGAACAAAAGGTCCATAGCCTCGCCTGCCTGCCCATCCTTGACACCCAGGTTTCTCCGAGAAGCTCTAAATACAATCGCCTGGAGGGTAGTTGAATAGAGGCCGAAAGTATTCAGCAGTTCATCCATCAAAAGAGGATAGCCCAATTTGACGTGAGCATCAGTGACTACTATCCATCGCTGCGACATGAGCGTCAGAAAGGTGAAAACCTGCACCATGGTCTGTTTGTAGAGTGGGAACTGGTTGTTGCGAGCTCCTAGCGGCGCAGGAAATGATTCAAAGAATCTGGCATGCGCAATACGCAGTTTGGAGTTGCTCTTGAGTATGCTATCAAGCAGTCCAAATGCATTGTCTATTTGGCTTGGATCTGCACCGCACTCAACGCTAAGTTCATCTATGATAGCGTTAGCCCATCTCAAATGAGGATTTTGGGAACAATTGAAGACGGCGAATTAATTCCTTCAAAGCCGTAAAGTGATCGCATGGATCATGGTCATAACCTCATTTTCAAGGGAGCCCGCTTATGGAACAGTATTCATGCCGTAGCAAAAGGGAGCATCACCAAATATATGGGGGCATTACTTACGGAGAAACTCGGTGCTTAGTGTCCAACAGCAAAAAAGTTGGTGTAGGACAACAAAGAACAAGTCGCCTTCATTACAGGCATTCCTCAGAAGCGAATAACGAGGACGTTCGAGGTCGCCATCAAGCGAATATTCGCCGCCACTCTGCGTGATCTGATGCTCAAGTTTCGCAAACGCATTCAGATCGGCGAGCAGAGTATACGCCATGTTCCTACACAAGCAGAACAACGTTAGCTCTTGTAGTATAAAATATTGCGAAAGTGAGCATGACTAGAAGATCCAGTATGCAGTCTTCTCAGGTCTAACCCCCGTGTATGGATAATTTGGCTCTTACCCGGCACGTTGGCGCTTGGCAGGCGGCGGCGGCGGCTGCTCGCGCACATTTGGCGATGGTGGAAGAGCAGCTGACATCGGCGTGACAGTCGACGTGCTCGGTGTCAAGGGCGTCTGCACCGCTGTGACTGCTCCGCAATCAGGATCGGAAACAGTTGAAATGTGGTTCTCAGCCTCTTGCACTGCTGCTGCCTGTCCTGTCGCTACGGCGGGGGTTCTCGCCAGCTGAGTTGGATCCTGCGCATCTGGACTCGTTGCCCCGACAGCCTCAGAAGTAGCAACTGCCTGTATCAATTCAAAGTGGGCCGTGGTTACCGGCACAAAGCTTGTAGGAGTTGAAACAGATGGCAACGTTTGCGAGGAGTTTGTGGGCTGAATAGGTGCAGACAGTGCTGGGCTCGGTTCGTCGCTGGGCGCAGGAGTAGGAAGAGCAGGAGATGCGTCTGGAGGACTGGTGATATCTATTGTGATTAGCCCGAAGCCTCAAGTGGTAAACGGATCATGGCATGCATAATAGTTCGAATGGCAGTCTACGTGGCGCGCGGGTTCGTAGACAGCCATCGGCATAGACAAAAGCAAAGCGCAAAGCAAAGCAACTCACACTTGGACTGTTTGCGCCGAAACTGGCAGAGACTGTGGACGGTTGACAACTTGAGGAGGAGGAGGTGGTGGTGCAGCCGCAGCCGCCGCGGCTGGCCTTGCAAGTGTTTCTTGCTGATGTGGTTGTTGAGAGGAGTCGATGCGGATGGGCGGTCTCCTCTCATGCAGGGATTCCTTCGGGGGACGGGGAGTGGGCTTCACAGGCGCCGCATTACTCATCCACGCTCGCTGACGACCACCTAGAAACTTGTTGACCGTCTTGTTTGATGATTCGTACTGAAAGTCAGCGGTGGCGGGCACGCTTCTTCCCGACGAAGGTCGCTGGCCGTGTCCGGGCGCCATTACTCTCACCTACGTGCATCGCCTCGGCGCACGTCTTGAGGCAACACCGAAGGGGACAAGAGTCGAGCTCGGTGTTTAGGATGGCGCCGACTTGCTCTCGATTGCTAATTCTGCCAGCTACAGGGAGGAAACGAGATCGAGCGAGGACAGAAAATAGAAGTTGCGAAATGGTGTATGCTGTTTGACGATTTGGAACTCAAGTCGGGCGCAAGCCTCAACAACGAAAACAATGCCCGGCGGAATAGAGGCAGGGCCGCATGAGACCTACCACAGACGCAGAAAAGAGGAGAGGTGAGCAGAGCGCGCATCAGAAAAAAAGCGGCGAAACGATTCGGCTGCAAAAAAACCCAAAGAGGCTGCAAGCGCACCGGATGTCAGTCTCTGTACGTATTATCCGTAAATGGTCACGTCGCCCAACACTTAGCGAGCGACATCTGCTGGGATCAATGACGATAATGACAATAAGTGGTATGCACGAAGCATGCTCCTCGACCCTCTAGGCAATGCAAGCATGAGGCTCTGAATATGGGCACCCATGGGATGTCTAGCTGTTCGGCTCTTGCCTGTCTCAGGTTTAGGAGGAGAAAAGGCAGTGTTTGCTTTTTCTTCCTGTTTCGTAACATCCCAGTGCTACTACTTTTACGTTCTTGCAGTTTATGGAATTTGCTTTAATGTGCAATGCTTCAGGTGACCGAGGTCGAGTATTATAACGTCTTACCCTGGCTACTTGCTTTTCTCTAAAATGTGAGCCGCACCCGGGATTCAATTGACTTGTTAGTATACACAAGCAAGCCACCAACAGCGACTGTTGATCGATTGCACACAGCCTGGAGGGGCAGGGAACTTCAGGAAACTCGATAGCGGGAGCGACCGTGTGAGCGAGCCGCAGTACCCACCGACATTTGAATCTTCTTTACGGCCAGTCTTCATGTCTTCGAGTAAAACCTATACCCATGGCAACTTGCTCTCGAATGGTCAAGAACAATCATAGGTGAATATCACGAAACAAAGCATGGACGTGCCATTTTGCAGAACTTGGCTTGCAAAGTCTACTTTGATGTCCCTGCTCGTAACCTAGTCGGTAAGCGCGGTAATATCCACAATATTAATGTAGTCTTGAACCTCATTGCGAATGCAGATCGCAACTGAATTGACAAGTAAAAATACGCATAACCAGGAGAAGCCTCTTCCTCTGTGTCGAGAGAGACGAACCTTGAAAAGTCGTTGCAAGTGCCCTGTCAACCAACTCCGTTATAGATAGAAAAAAATATTCATGATTGAACCACGCGCAAATAGGTCGTGAGAGAGGGCTTTAACTTGTTGCCTCTCTTCATATGAACGCATAAGTACATCCATAACACTGCTGATCTTGGTCAAAAGTTCCAAGGTTTTCCATCCGCAAAAATGAGGCCGTCGATCCATTGATCAACAGGCCTGTCATTCTAACGTATATTTGTAAAGTTCACATGTACAGTCAACGGAAAGGTAAGTACGAAGTAGGTAGGCACATGTATTCTATCGTAGCCGTTGACAATGATAAACGCCTCCTACCATACCTCAGGTAGCGTACGACGAGACCCGTTATTGTTCGCGCCCAGACCTCCCGGCCTACCTGTCTAGGGCAGATTGACAGGGCTCCCAGGCAATGTCCGCGGCCCGCTCGATACCTAATGTAGTTCGTAGAGGGTCCAGCGACCTGGTAAGGCTCCGGTAGAGAGCCAGTGCCTCGCGCGCAGTGCCACTAGGTAATAGGAATTCATGTTGATGGATGTGCTCTTGGCGGCCAATCTTTCTTTGCTTCGTGGAGTTGGAATGTCGGCTCCCTACAAGATTTGTTTGGCCGGTTATGCCTTTTGGGGCTCCAGAGCTTGTCTTGCTTCTCTCCAATAGTCCAAAGTGAATTCCACTGTACTCAAAAGCATACTCTCTGTACATGGGAATCAAGCATGCCAGTCATTATTTTAATAGAGCGGAACTTAAACGCCGATAGACGCAGTTCGACACGCGGACACGCTCTCGAAAGGGTTATCATCCCCTGCGCAAGCATGCTTCAGCACGGCCGTACCCAATAGCAGGGATCCACGACGGCAGAAGAGACTTTTATTGGGACTGGTTGCATTTACTATCAACTATCATTGGTTTATCACCTATATTCCGACAGCCATACATAGAGAGGCTACATACTCTGTACACTCCGATGGAAGACTCCCCCAACCTAAGAGCGGGAGACCATGTCACGGAATAAGGCATGTATGTAGATAGCATACTAGGTAGCGTGTGGCCATCCAGCTGAAGCCCCCCCTCTCAACAAGTTGGAAATGGAGTATGAGGAGTCTGGACTCCGGAGCCCGACTTCTTCTTCGTTCTTGAGAATCTAGCCACTTACCAAGTAGCCAAATAAGACGTGTTGTCAAAGACTTGAAAGCGGGTGCCTCTTTCATGCGATGCAAGATGCATTACCTACATCGTACATATGAACATTATGAGATGTCAAATGTAAAGTTTTCTTCCCCCTCCCAATAGCGACATCCGATGGTCCATGGTGTTAGGTTATTGTGTGAGAAGGAAATCATGTGTATCGTACCGGTAGCTACACAAGTAGTACTACAAACATGAATTGAAGGAAATGTTAGCAGGACGGGTGGATCCTTCGCGGCCGGTCCGAGTGCTGTTTGCCCCTCTCCAATGCTCATCCAAGCGCTGCTGCTACCTCACGGTTTACCGTTCTCGATGGCCCGCCCCCCAGTCAGCGATGCGACTGGGTGGCATTTCATTTCGTTCTCCGCTAACCTGATGCTCCTACTGCTCACCTCATAACTCAGGTGATAGTAGTTACAGCGCCTGCCTGCCTGCCTGCCTGCCTGCCTGCCTGTCTCTACCTAATGTATCTTTACTTGGCCAGCACATTCAAACCTATCTACCCCGATTGATATTGGCATCATCTGTACCTACCTTCGTCTGCGCCGTTTGTTAATCTTCCAAGGACTCAACATCCCGCTGCTGCCAGCAAGGAACGGCAACACGCAAATTGCAGCAGGACCTATCTTTTTCCAACCTCGTTCTACTGTCGCGGCCCGCTACTTGAACTGTACGAGGCGAGCAGATATCCCGTGGGAAAAAGGTGTCTTGTGCGACGGCAAAGCAGAATTATTGCCCAGGATTGCGCCCGTCCAATCTCTTTTCTTCTGCGCCTTTAGTGTCATTGCCAATTGTTTTCTTGCTCCTCTGGGCTCCAAAATCCCCAGCCAGCACAGCGCCCGCATTCGTTCACCACAACAGACAGCAGCAGCCCCGAGACCTACGCTCAAAGCAAAGATTCTCCTGAATGACGTCCAACTCCTCCTCCAATCCTAGTCGACACCCTCCTCAAACACGACAAAGCTCGCCATTCTTTGGCTGAGGTCACGACTTGTACCATTACGAGCAGCTCCATTTTGCCATCCGCTTTCCAGGACGACCAACAATCTCCTTTTTCTTCGTTTTATATACCTACATATGTAAGACGGACCTAGCTGCGCCTCACTGTTAAAATCTGGCTGCATCAGTAATACTTTCGTTCAATGCCTCCTGCGTACCCAAGGAACTATTGATCGAATCAGAGGCAGCCTGCTCGCCTGCCCACCCATTTGACAAACGACCATTCCTGCAAAGGCTGGTGCAACTGCATTTCAATTTCGGGTCGCTCAACTATCGTTTCCTCTTCGTCTTCGACACTTCGCACCTCCGCAGACCCCCGACTGCTGCTGGGGGCCATTTAGTTTTGGACAGATCTATGCGACAACACCCGCCTGTATCGACTCGCTAGCATTTCATTTCGCAAGAAGGGGTCAACGTACCGGATAGAGTCCTGATAGCTCCCCTTGGAGGACATGAGCCATGGCGACTACCACCGGCTTCCAGCCTAAGCCCGAGGTGGGCGACATCCTTGTGGTTATCCGTGAGTGAAGGCCAGCCCTATATCCTCTCAGCCGCAGGAGTTGCGAAAGCCCCTTACTGCCAGTTACTATTATGGATGTCTGGCGGCGTGCATCAGCGCAAGGCGCTACGCATATCTCCCTCCCTGGTGTCGGCTGCAAGAATAGTCTTGATTAACATCTTGGATGCCTGCAGATGACTTCATTGCCAGAAGCTCAGATGAGCTAAGTTTGGCCAAGGGCGATCGAGTTGAATTGATTGAACGTGATGATGAATTTGGCGACGGTTGGTTCTTGGGGCGTCACATGGTCAACGGCAACAGTGGATTATTCCCTGAAGGTGAGGCACACCTCGGCTTCATGGAGCTCGTGAAGCTGCAAGCGCACTCTGTAGGAATCGACCCACGATCTGACACTTGTCTGTAGTCTACACTCGACCATCCCCAAAAGGCGTTTCTCCCGTGACAACGACGGCCAAATCCGCGCTATCGCCTGCGACTGCGCCTGTTCTGCAAGCAAGCACCAACGGCATTTCGACAGCAACCAATCAAATACAGTCAACAACAGCATCTGGCGACGGTCGGCCAGGAACCTCAAACACGACAACCTCTTCGAAGGCCGAGTCTACACCTATATTGCCTCTAAACGCAACAAAAGCGGATAACAGCCCAATTATTGCAGCGGCACCGCTGGTCAGCAAGACGCCTACCGGCCCCCCCTCCTTCAATGGCACGGGCAGCTCCCATAATGATAGCGCAATGCTACATGAAACATTGACGGTGATCGATGAACACATGAATGATCTACATTCTACGCCTAGCACTGGAGCTCTTCACCATGCAACCGATTCGAGCAGCGAGTATAGTGCGCCGCTACATGACCGGCTGTCCTATATTCAAGGCGAGGAGACCGACGAGGAGGAGGAGGAGCTTCATTCGAGGGCTCAAGTTGAGGCATGGACTGCCGATGATGTGGCGGAATACCTCTTCACATCCGGAGTAGAGAAGAAGCATTGCGAAGTGTTCAGAGACCAGGAGATATCGGGTGAAGTGCTCCTGGGCATGGACCAGTCCTCACTATTTCTCAAGGCCTTTGATCTCGGCTCTGTGGGCCGACGACTTAAGACGTGGCAAAAGATCAAATCGCTCCAAGATGAGGTGAATGGCTTGGCCCCAACGCAACGAACAACTCAGAACTATGGCAGCGAAGCAGGAAGCGATATCAGGGTGCGAAGCAGAGCGAATACCTTGACCAATTCCCAAATGATGCCACCCATTACAACTCGATCCAGTTCTGCTGCAGGAAGACGACTTTCACAAACGACGCCCAAGATGGATCCCGTCTCTCCCATGACCCCGGTTTCACCCAATGGTATGAGCCTCAATGACAGCCCAACGCGCCCAAGTCATTTGAAACGTCCTTCTGCTGCTTCAATACGCGATCTGCACCATTCGCGGAGGCATTCGTCCACTGTTGACAATCGATTTACAGGCACTACTCTGGTAAACAGCACTCCTAAGATGAGCGCAACAGGGTTTCCGCCGCCTCAAGTTGGAGCTGGTGTGGCTCATAAAAAGCAGCCCTCCTTTGATCGGAATTGGACTATGGGCAGTGCAAATGGCTCATTCTCGCAGCGCCCCCTCTCCGCCTCTGGCTTCCAGGGTTTGAATATCACAGCCGAGAGAGATGGTGACCAGTCTGCATCTGACGTTGATCGCGGCTACTTCTCAGGCACCGAAATCGATAATGGACGGAAACGAAACACGCTTAAGAAGCGTGACACAATCTCTGGGCACTCGGCTAAAAGTAGCTACGCCGATGAGCAACGCATGCGAAGCGGGACTGCCTTGGCCAGGCATTCTCGGTTCGGCAGTATGGACTCTGTGTCCGGGGGTGCTGCCGCCAAGTACTTTGGCGTATCCAATCCTCATCGCAGAACGGCTTCGACAGCCACCACTGAATCCGTTCGACCAGTACCACCTAGCAAGGACTACCCGTCGCCGACTGTGACAAAACTAGACGCACTCACTGGTGGTACCAACTCTCCAGCTTCTCCCAGCATCAAAGGATCTGAATGGCAAGCCAAGGCAGCTAAAATGTCTGGTTTTAGTGGGTTAAGGGCCATATCGGACGCCGTCACTGGCAATGAACGTGCCAAGTTTGCTCCACCGGGAAGTGCTGGTTCGTTCAAAGAATCACCCATGCAGTCGCCATCCACGAGAACAGGATCTAGTACACCCTCAGGGGGTCCCAGCCTCGACCTTGACTCGCCCGACACGGCCAAGGCAACAGCGCTAGCCAATCAAGCAGCACGGAAGCCGCAGAAGAAGGACAAGAAGGAGACAAGCGCCTACATGCGTGGGCTAGCAAAGATTGGACCCAAAGAAGCCATCAAGGATGCCGATTTCCATGGTTGGTTGAGAAAGAGAAATGCCAATATCATGTCAACCTGGAAGCCAAGATTCTTTGTCCTTCGAGGACGCCGACTGGCTTACTATTACTCAGAGGATGACACTGAGGAGAAAGGCATCATTGATATCTCCTTTCATAGGGTCTTGCCTGCCAACGATGAGAAGCTCACTGGACTCCATGCAACTTTGACGGGAGCTAGTAATATCCCGATTGCGGCATCAGACAGCACCCTTCCAACAGCAGGCAACAATGACGATCTCCAGAAAGGCGACGATTCCATGTTCATCTTCAAATTACAACCTCCTCGCGCCGGCCTTTCAAAAGCTGTCACTTTCACCAAACCAGTTGTTCATTACTTTGCAGTGCCCAACTTGCAGCAAGGCAGAGCGTGGATGGCGGCTCTCATGAAAGCTACTATTGATCGCGATGACACCGTACCGATGACGTCCACTTATCAAGCAAAGACGATATCTCTAGCTAAGGCCCGACAACAACGTCAGAGACCACCTGCTCTTATGACAGCCGAAGAAAGGGCGGCAGCTGGACTCAAGGAGGGCGGAGGCGATGAGAAGAAGAATGGACTGGGCATATCTTTCGGTGAAGTCGACAGCGCAGTCTCTGGGCTAGAGAAAATGGGACTGCAGAGTCTTGAGAGCTCTTCTGCACGGCCATCGACTTTTGATGCGGAAAAGAGTGGCGGCAGCCTATCGTTCCTGTCATCTCCGCAGAGCGCATAGAAGCTGTCCGTGGGGGCATCACACAGCGTGTTTCATTCGAGACTGCAAGAATATCAATGTCGGGCTGTCAAAGCTATCTGGAGCCGGACATCTCGAAAGCAAACCTTGAAAACACGTAGGCGGCGCTGCAGAAACTGGAAGAGGATTTCTGATAGCTCAACACTATATGGTTTGATTGATCGTCAGTCCTCATGATATCGAAATTGGCCTTTCATTAGCCGACTTGGAGTTGCCAACCAACTCCCCTAGATCCCGATACACATTCGAAATCTATTTGGAAGATGAAGCTAGAGCTGAGGGATCGGCAGGGGTGCACGGAATCCGCAATCCGGTATCCTCAGCTGAGCAGACAAGTCATATGCAAATCCATTTCCGTCAGGCCAGCCGAAAAAGCACGACAGGTCTCGCGTCGCCCTCTGCAGCCGGGTCAGCCTGGCTCTGGCTCAGTCTCCTTCCCAAGTCACAGTCTTGACCGACAATGACTTTGTCCCCACACGACACGATACGAAGCCATTACAACATTTCCACTAATTCTTGACGACATCACATACTTTTTCATAATTAATATTCAGTACATATATTCTGCAGAGGGAGGATGAGTGCCGGATATCGAGGGATGACGGTTCCGGCACTGCTGGATTCTGAAGCTAGTTCGACAGGGAGCGAGTTTCGCGAAAAGGCACAGCGACGGTGTTTCTCTTCAGGTGTTGTGACGAAGATCAACAAATTGATATTTTCGTTTGGATCATTCCATTCTCATGATTGGCGAAGCGACAATTTATAGGCGCCACTGGCCTAATGATCAGCACTCTAGACATAATAAGAGAACGGAGGTAGCTTTCACATGGTAAAAGCACAATTATTGCTACTGCATAGGCAACATTGATACGTTCTGTTGGAGACGTCCATTGATTCTAGCAACTGAGAAATCCAACCTGATATGAGCAAGCAGCCTTTGCAACAACCAATCATCATTGAATCGTGTTAAACAGCTTGCCGCTTGGCCCGGGGAAAGAAGGAAAGCTTCCGAATGATACGCTGCTCCATGGTCTCATGCTCACAGAACGAGTCCTTATGTCTCATAAATTCTGATTTGCTAGTCGAGGCACACCCTCTGTCGAGCATGGCCTGAGTGAGTACCAACAAAAGATTCACGTTTGGGGGCTGAGCCGGACTTCCCGGTCAACGTCTGATACAGCGTCTGGCTTGTGACTTACCTAGCAGTACACTCGGCTCATGAGGCACAACTGCTTCATGAGCACACTTGGTTTGATGTTGTGTGTGTATGTGTGCCACCCTGCAATGCAAGCTGTCGGTTGGAACGGTTAGATGGAAGGCAAAAGGGGCCATTTTCGGTTTCCGGAACGAGACCAGGGCGGCATCTCCAATGATCACGTGGGACGGGCGCATGTAGGGTGGTTGATTGCCGCCGATATAGGCCTTTTCCTTATTCCGCTTTGCATCGTACGATACGGTATGCCGGCCAAGCACTTTGTGTAGAATCTCGCCCAAGCAACTGTATTTGCTACCTGCATCCCATACATGGCGTTATTATGATTGGTGTACTAGTTGAGAATCATATAAAGAAAAATGTCGGCGTAGAATATCACCTTGCAGTCATTCAGTCGAAACGACACACGCTCTCGTCGACTCTTCAAGCACGGTCGGCAACGATAATTGTGTGCTAGACATGTGAGATATATTCAGATTGGTAGTATGGTGGGTTCTAAATGCTGCCAAGGCCACTTGTTCTCTACCAGAATTTCGGCCGAGGCACTCGGAAAGCCACAAGTCTAGGAAGGCTGGCTGAAAAGACGCGTCGAAATGTACTATGCAAGCGAACCACTGTGGTAGGGACTAATGTACAGTATTCTTATTACAGTATCTATGCACTTTTCCACATGACAGTTTCATGGCAGCCGCGAAGGATTTTCCTCTTGTGATTAAAAGTAATGCACGGCATTATAGATGATAGGCGTCGTCGTTGGACTTGTAAGGATGGACGATGTTCGAGGGCGGGCCCATCCACGAACCAGAAGCTTAATCGACCGAAGGCCATAACAGGGAAACGACGCGTGCAGTTTCAACCAGATTGAGCCACCGAGACGAGAGAACAAGAGTGACAAGAGAGAGCGAAGCCCCCATTTTTTCTCTCACGTGTCTCTCTTGTTTCCTTCTCATTATTTCCATCTGTATGTTGCGAGCAATGGGAAGCTAGGCGTCGGTGCCTGGCCTTTCTCGCTTTGTTATTAGGGCGGACACATAAAGAAGGCGTATTGCTCATCGTACCACCAAAGGGCCGCGAACCTCGAAAGCCCGAAAGCCAGGCGGAATCAAGCTCCGGGCCCTAGTAACCATTACTTTGTGTGTACGGTTACAACATGGAATGCACGGCAGAGCACCTGGGCGATTTAGCGAAATACCTTTGCCACATTGGAAATAAATTGATTCGACTGCCGAGTCCGCTGTATCCTGTACTCTGAGGTAAGTAGTATTCCATGGTCATTTGGCGAAGCGACTTCCGGAATATTCTACACTATAAACTCGAGAAAAAAAAAAAGTCAAATCCTGCCCGGCCCCACGTATTCTTACCTACTGAGTAAATAGTTGCTTGCAAATGTAGGTTTTGGGCATGGTGCCCAGGTACCTAATGTACCTCTAGTTGTGGTGAGAAAACCGGCTTGGTCCATGAATAGAACGGGTACCTTGGGAGAGAAGAAGGAAGCGCGCCATTGAACGCGACTTGCTTGCCTCTGGAGATGTACGTAAGGTGATGTAGGTCAGATGTTGTACCGGAGTTATCACGGATCTGTTCTTGCAGACATGTATGTGAGAGAGTGAGGGATGATTCCCAGCGTGTGGCCGGGGTGCATTGCCCTCCGCAGCGAGTTGCATGGACAAGATATGTAGGATATACTGTGTGGTGTGAGAGAGAGTGTGTGTGGTAGAGAGTGAAATAGGACGGGTCGGAGGGAGGGGCTGTTCGTCATCCTGTCTTGTCACTCTTTTTTTTTTCTCTCTTGACAGGTAGTTTTCCACATAGTTGTTGGAAATGGGGCAGCAGCAAAACATAGCAGCCAGCATTGATAACTTCGTTTCGTTTCGTCTCGTTTCGTCGACTTGTTTAATTTGAATTAGACAGGCCAACCTTTCAATATCAAACCGAAGCCCAGTTATTTTGTTATTTTGCTACTAGAATATTATATACGAATTAGAAAAGAAACAATGTAACGTACCCGCAGCCTTTATTTTATCCCTATGTCGCGCCGGTATTGCGTCGGGACCAGAAGCCGATCTGGCAGCATGGCCATGACTTTGGGGGGGATGGGGGAGATTTGGTGCCCTTTTTCTTGCTTTCTTTTTCTGTTTTTCTCCCCCTGCCCTTTTCAACGCACATTTGGGCAAGAGAATCGAGGCCTTCTTGGCGTCAGCAGGCACCACAACAAGGCGAGAGAAACGATGGACCCGTTTCGTGTCCCTGGACGCTATGGGAAAATAAGTTTTTAGTTTTTTCTTAGGCAGTGGATGTTGTGTGTCTCCATAGCGCTTGAGTTACCCGTTGTGCGCCCCGTTCATCGAATCGCGTGGGCGATCTACACTACCAGTAGACGGTCTAGGCCGGGCCATAACCAGCCCACTCATCTTTTCTTGTGCTGGGGATTGTGCGTGCATGCATGTCGTCCTCCTCCACCCACGGGCGAACTAGTGTGCAAGGTAGACCCCCCATTTCCTGCATTTCCGTGAGTGCCGTCTTGGTCTGTTCTTGGGTCTGGGTCTGGCGGTTTGGTCTATCTGGTCTGTCTTGGGTTTGATTGCTTGACTGACTTGGCTGCCGGACGAAAGCCTGGAAGACTCCAATCGTCTAGTCATTTCTAGTGTGTAGAAATTGTCCCAGGCCTTTCGGTCTCGTTACAGATCTGCGTCTGTCTTGCTTAAATCGGTTTGAAGAAAGTGAATCTTTGATTATGGTCCCAGAATAGGAGGTAGACAACGGGAGATCGATACCGAAACCCTGTATACTAGGTTAGGTGTCTATAGCCCAGACATGACAAGATGCCTGACTTTGACAGGAAGACTGAAGTAGATCACCAAGACGAGGAACAACCCGGGGAGGGGGAAAAAAAAAAGAGTTGTATGAAGTACACATGTGTAAGTTAGAAGTCAACGGAGACAAAACACAACAGAGTGACAAGACCAAAGGCCTGCCGTCATCATCATCATCATCATCATTAACATCAATCCACTTTAGGCCAGCCCAGTACTTGTTTAGTAGCAGTAACGCCAGCGGTCTTCGGGGTTTAATGCGTTCACTGGTTGGCGGGTGTGACTTGACTTGGCTTGGGCAACGGCGCCCGAGGTGATCGATCGATGCTACTAGTTGCATTGCGCGCCGCCCTCTGGACCACCGGCCTACCATACAAAGCCCACCCTTAATTCTTCTCATTACATCCACTCGTTCCGTGACATATTCTGGAAGAGAGACCCAAGAACAAAACTTACACGCTCCCTCGTGTCTGTTCCTAGTTCATCTTTCCCGACCAGGTACACACAGGGCCAATCTTCTCCTCACCTCTTTCAACCTTTCTACATTTAGAAATTGATTGGCCAGGAACGAACAGACAGCCAGGCAGGCAGGCAGGCAGGCAGACACAGACACTCACGCATACAAATCAACCAACAGAGGGTCAGCCGGGGCGGTCGAGCATTGCCCTCCCTCGAGAAACATGTCGATCGGGTGCTTGTCTAGTCACACTCACGCCCAGTACTCCATCTCTCGCATTGGTCACCAGATGGACACCATGGCCGTCACTTCAAAGACTTCAATTGCTTCAAGATCTGACACACGCGCCGTTGCACCTGCAGAGACTGGTGAATCCGGATATACTCAAACACTCTATATACTCGTCTCCAAGGGATTTCCACGGGACTCGGAGAGCTCGCGTATGATCGACTTTTGTATCGTCACCAATGACAGCAAGAATACCAACACCGTCTACCGACTGGACGGACGCCGTGGACAATACGGCTTAAAGGTGGTGCCGGGGTTTGGCAACCCTCGGTTACGACCACACTTTCTCCGCCAACTCCATGTCGCTACACTACCTGTACGCTCACCCAACGACACCACACTCCATGAACTCGTCAAAGGGATCTCGATCAGCAACGAGAATCCAGAATACACTCGCTGGATGTGGATTGATAGTGTGCTCGGTGCCTTGTCCGCCGCCAGTTTGATCAGCTCAGATGAGGGAACTGGCATCATTGACGCGACCATCGACTGCGTATCAAGTGCGCCTTACCCTGATTAAGAATTTCTTTAAAGCAAGCACTTATGAATCAGCACCCATTGTGCTACATGATGATTTGGGGTCACTGGGGAAGAGAGAGTCTCAACCTCGACGAGCATCTGGATCTCCCGCAGGCGGGTCCTTTCAGGATCAACGACATGATGATCGAGCTACGGCTTTCGGCTACCTATCCATTGCTGATATTACATCAGAGATAGAAGCCATCGCCAGGAAAGACTCAAGGTTTACGACTGGGATTAAGGGCCATGTTGGATACGTGGCTGTTGGAACTAATACGTGGACTGGAAAACATCCCAACTAGCGAAAGCGGGTTATTTCTATCATTAGCAACGCCGGCATATTCGAGCACATCTGCGGATCACTATCTTCAGCATGGGCTCTTGACTGGAGCCGCAACTTGGGAACATTCGGACCTCTGTGGATTCCATCCAAGGAAGAGAAACGAAAGCTCAAGGATCTCGAAGGATAAATTCGGAGGTTTTCTGCACCGGCCAACGATTGCGATTTTTCAGACGAAGAAGATGAGGGCAAGACGGGGTCTCTGGAGAAGAGGATTCATATGAGCATCTTTCAGATTTGCCAGAAATTCATTCAGCATCGCCACTTTCCGAAGGTCTCGGACAATCAATGCATCAATCCAGAATGATTGCATTGCGTGATGGCGAAAGGTGTTTTGAGAGGGCACTCCTTTTGTGTCTTGCTAGTCCAACAAGATCCATGGTTTTGGGCTATTGGCACTTGGAGGCCTCAATTCTGCTAGGCACGCTTATTCCACTGATGCCGGGATGAAGTTGATAGAAGATGGAACTCTGTGCAAGATTTCATACATGATAGAATTAATTTTGATAGATACCCATAATACTGAAAAAGTTTTATCGCAACAGCATCATGGTGTTTGTTCTGTTTACGATTACTACAATACTCGTAGCAACGGATAAATGCCACCGCACAATCATTAAGACATTTGGTGGCTGTGCAAAGTTTCTGTATAACCGGACTATTTGCGTGACGGATGCAAGGTTATCATGACAGGACGCGACATGACATTAGCCAGAATTTCAAGACGCGCATCACATTTACGAAGCATAAGGCCAGTTGTCAAAACCATGTTCGAAGCTTTAAGAAGCGACTGAGCGAAAAAGCATCGTCTGGGCAATGCTGGTCAGGTATTGAAGAACCCGGAATGAGACAATGTGCTGCCAAAGCCATCGACGCGGACAAACAGTTTTCCTGACTCGGGCAACGTTGGCAAAGAATTTACAATAGTCAATAATCACGAAAGGCTGGAGCTTGCGTAACTGTTTCACGATGGACCAACCCAATGGAAGGCTGGCGTTTGATTGTCGCTGCTTGCGTGGGGATCGCATGTGGTATTGAGAGAGACAGAGAGGGACCTGCTTTTCCGATCCAGGGCGGGGCGATCTAGTGTACAGAGTAATAACGTATGTATGTAGTTTATATATATATATATATATATGTGGCAACAAGAACATTGGATTACCCATCCGCGTCCACTTGCAGAATCCTGCAGCCGTAGGATGCAATTCCATATCCAGTTCTGCTTGTAACCCTCCATCATCATCAAGGTATATTGAGAACGACCCACGTGGCTGCCTAGGCTGCATTGAAAAGTTTGTTCATTGCATACAAGCATTGATGAATCAAAATCGCCCATGCCTGGAATATATACTCGTGACCTTTGTCAGAAGCAGTGTTTTACAAGTTATAGCAGTAGGAATTGGACGGTTTGGCGTCAATCAGCATAAGAAATCCGCACGCGCGTCAAAACGGGGGAGAACTCTGGTCCCAGGCCCCTAGGGAGGATTGCTACATTATCTATTATGGCTGACATACAGACCTGCCTGTACTACGAAGCCCCCGAAAGTTCCGATCCACCACAGAGCCCCAGTATCAGGATTCAGTGGGCCAATCATGTACTGGAATTCCCTCGCTAGTGGGTTCCTTCTAGCCGTTGCGGGCTTGGCTTGTGGACCTCCCGCTTTGAGATTCGAGAGGCCACTTCACCATTGACGATCTTGTTGCAACCTCAGCTCTTTTCTTTGTACGTACGAAGTACACTACGGGTTGATTACCGACCAACTCTGGTGCCTTATTCAAAGGTGCATCTTTGTCGTCTCCTTTCTCTTGATCGCATCTCTCATTGCGATTCCTCAGTCACTCAGTCATCTAGACTGGGCATCCCATCTGCCAGCTCTACGTCGGGCAATTTCGTCCTTGCTGTTCTTGCTGTCCATCGACTTCCCCTTTCTACTGCCAACGCGGCAGCCTGCCAGCCAGCCATGGCTCCCTCTTGGAGTCCAGTCCGCCTCGTTGCTTGCGGACTGCTGACTTTGGCATCATGGACTTCCACAGTCCTCGCCGACAAGACCGCCGCCGACTACTTTGTCCACTCGCTTCCTGGTGCCCCGGCTGGTCCGCTGGTTAAGATGCATGCTGGGTAAGTAGAGATCCCGTCCTCCGCATTCGCGTTTCAGACTTGATTACCATTTGCGAATCCCCGTACTGACCAGTCACCAACCATTCACAGACACGTCGAGGTCACTCCGGAACACAATGGCCATCTTTTCTTCTGGCATTTCCAGAATCAACACATTGCCGATCGGCAACGAACCGTCATCTGGCTTAATGGTGGCCCAGGTTGCAGTTCCGAGGACGGCGCCATGATGGAAATTGGACCATATCGACTGAAAGACAGGGACCACCTCGAGTACAACAACGGCTCCTGGCATGAATTCGCCAATCTCCTCTTTGTCGATAACCCCGTTGGTACCGGTTTCAGTTATGTCAACACCAATGCTTATGTTTCCGAGCTCGACGATATGGCAAACCAATTTGTCACTTTCCTTGAAAAGTGGTTCGCCCTCTTTCCGCACTTTGAACATGACGATGTAGGTTCTCTGCCACTCCATATTTCCAAATCACTGTACTAACACGTACTCACCGCAGCTTTATATTGCGGGAGAGTCATATGCTGGACAGCATATCCCTTACATTGCCAAAGCTATCTTGGCGCGCAACAAGCTGCCTGCAACCAAGCACCAGTGGAACTTGCAAGGTCTTCTGATCGGTAATGGGTGGATCTCTCCGCCCGAGCAGTATGATGCCTACCTCAAGTTTGCCTACGAGAAGGACATTGTCAAGAAGGGCTCAGATATTGCCCAGAAGCTGGAAGCCGCTTACAGTAAATGCGAAAAAGCCATTACCAACGGCGGCATCAACCACGTCGACACCGGTGTGTGCGAGCAGGTACTACAAGAGATCCTGCGTCTTACAGCAAAGAAAAAGGGCGACAATACAGAATGTGTCAACATGTACGATGTCCGACTCACAGACACCTACCCGAGCTGCGGCATGAACTGGCCCCCGGACTTGACTTCCGTCACTCCCTACTTGAGAAAGCAAGAGGTTTTGTCAGCTCTGCATGTCAATCCGGGCAAGAGCACCGGGTGGACTGAATGTAACGGCGCTGTCGGTGCCGCTTTTTCTGCCCAGAACTCGGTACCATCTGTCAAGCTGATCCCCGACCTCCTTAAAGAGATTGATGTTCTCCTCTTCTCTGGCGCCGAGGATCTCATCTGCAACCATCTGGGAACTGAGGCTTTGATTAGCAATATGGAATGGAACGGCGGCAAGGGATTCGAGGTTTCCCCTGGCAACTGGGCACCACGTCAAGATTGGACATACGAGGGCGAGGCTGCCGGTTTTTGGCAAGCTGCCCGCAACCTGACATATGTCTTGTTTTACAACTCATCTCATATGGTTCCCTTTGATTATCCCCGCCGAACTCGCGACATGCTTGATCGATTCCTCGGAGTCGACATCAGTGGTATCGGTGGCACACCTGCTGAGAGTATTTTGGACGGCGAGAAGCTTCCAGATACAACCGTGGGTGGCGCAACCAACAACACTTCGTCCGACGCACAGGAACAAGACCTTGCTGATGCAAAGTGGGCTGCTTACCAAAAGTCAGGAGAGCTAGTTCTAGCTATCGTTGCAATTGGCGCCTCAGTCTGGGGATTCTTCATCTGGAGGAGTCGCAGGAAGAATCGAGGCTACCAGGGACTATCGGCTGTTGCCGAACGAGTACGTGGTGATTCTGGTCTTGAAGGTTTCCGCAACAAGAGGACAAATCGTGATGTGGAGGCTGGAGACTTTGACGAGAGCGAATTAGATGATCTCCATGTCGCTACACCAACTGGTCTGAATAAGGAGCCCTACAGCATTGGAGACGACAGCGACGACGAGCAGTCGACCGAAAAACCAAAGGCTGGCTCCTCCAGGACTTAGACTCATTCCTCCCTTGTATGCATAGCCTCTGGCGTTTGGTGAATCTATTAGCTACCAAGATTACGGTTTTCTATCGGAAGAAATTTGAATACACATGATCATTCTCACAACATTTGATGCAATCATCTCGTAAGAGCTTCTCTGATGGCTTGCAGTGCGTGTAAGACTGAGTGTCATGCAACCAAGTTGTCTCAGGGCCAATCACTCAAGAACATGCCACGACCAAAAGTCTATATACGCGTCACTAATTCACTGATCTCAGAGCACCTCTATGTATGGCCACATCCTCGGCTCGGCATCTTGAAACTCTGTTTTGCCTCCCTAGCGCGGATACCACGGCACAATGCAGCAAGCCAAAGCAAGCCAAACAAGCCTCATGCGGGTGAGATCTTAAAACACGACGTGAACACACACACATCTATTATGCATCGCCGGGCTCGGTGCCGAAGATGCCCGCGGTGATACAAGCTGCCGATTTGCACCACGGGGGTCCGAAGGTGCACTTGAAACCTCGCTACGGCGAGGAATAGCTGAAATGGCAAGCTGAAAGGCTGAACATTTAGGACCTAGACACATTGGTATCCGTCTCCCATTGTAGAACAAGGTTGATGTTTCAGCCGTCTACACATCTCGCGGCATCTCTCATAGGCTGAGCAGTGTTGACCTTATTGACCATTGTTTCCTCCGCAATTGATTAGAACTTGCAATTACCGACTCGGAAGAATGGGAGATATTGCGCCGCTAGTAAAGGACAAGATCAATGTAGCAATTGCCGGGGGCGGCATCGCCGGCCTCGCGCTGGCGGTCGGGCTGGTGAAGCAACCGCACGTCGAGGTCCGGGTCTATGAGTCGGTGCCGCAGTACCGGGACGTGGGCGCCGGGCTGGCCCTGCACCTCAATGCTATCAAGGCCATGACCCTCATCGGCCCGGAGCTCCGCGGCGCCTACTTTGACAAGGCGCACGTCATGGCCGCCGACCAGGACACGGAGATGGCGACCGAGGTCATCCTGGCCCACGGCGAGAGCAAGGGGACCCGCGTGGCCGAGCTCGGGCGGGCAAAGGGCCGCATGAGCATTGCCAGGTCGGATCTCTTGGATGGTTTCTGGAGCCTGCTGCCCCAGGAGACCGTCGTCTTTGGCAAGAAGCTGGCTGCTATTGCAGAGAAGCAGGTGGCGGGCGAAGAGGGGCATGGTCAGCGGGATATGGTTGAGATTACCTTTACTGATGGAACCAAGGCCGAGGCCGACGTGCTCATTGGTGCCGATGGCGTACACAGTCTCACACGGAGCCATTTGCTTGGCGCGGACCATCCGGCCACGGCTCCAAAGAACCATGACAATTGGGTGGTTTACCGAACCATGGTCTCAATGGACGAGGCAAGGCGTTGCATTGACGAAAAGTGGTGCGGAATGGGCGTGCCGATCCTCCTGGGACCCCGAGGCCACGTCAACATCATCCCTCTGAACAAGGGGACAAGGCTGAGCGCCGGCGTGGCAGTCCGCGGCGCATCGAATCCGGATCTGGTCGCGGCGCCATCGTCCGAGGCCACGGCCGGCGACAGAGAGGCCGGCGCCGGCGCCGAGCAGAAGAAACTCGATCCGGAAAACTATGACGACTACACCGAGGAGGCCCAAAAGATAATCCGCATGGTGGCGCGCGACACGAGCGCCTCGTGGAAGCCGGCCGACCACGACCACGCCCCATTTTACGCCCGGGGCCCGGTGGCCATGATTGGCGACGCCGCGCACGCCTCTTTGCCGTTTGCTGGCAACGGGGCCGCGCAGGCCCTCGAGGACGCGGCCGTCTTGGTCGCCCTGTTTGCGCGGCTCCAAGAACTGCAGCACCAGCATAATCAACGGTTACAACAACAACAACAACAACGAACTTCCTCGGCGAATGCCAACGAGACATCGCGTTCGTCCTCGGCGCAGCAGGACAGTTGGGACGCCCCGGCCGCCATCTGCACCGCGCTGCGCGCCTACGACGTGGTGCGGCGGCAGCGGAGCCAGCACGTCGTGGACCTGGCGCGCCAGTTTGGCCGCGTCTACGCCTACGTCGAGGACGACGGCCGCATGCACGCCAGCCCCGAGCGCATGAGGGCCTTTTTCGCCGACATGAGCAGCTTCACCAATGACTTTGACGTGGCGGGCCAGAACCGCGAGGCCGTGGAGCTGCTGGATATGTTGCTCTGGCAGGACGCCGACGACGATCATGATATTGCTGTTGTAAAGGACAGAAAGAGGGCGGAAAAGGTAAATGGTGTCAATGGGCATTAATTTTGAAAAAGTGTATTGGCAGACTAGATTGTATATTTGAGTTGAAAGGCTCCTAATACATGCAAAGGAGAAACTGAATTTCGAGGCGTTTGGGGTTAGGGGAATGAATAAATCCTTTCTAATAATGCTCAGCAGTCAGGTTGTGGCTTGAAATGCTGTTTTGCCAAGTGGAAATTGGTCGCTACGTAATGGCAACAGAGTCTTGAAATTTACGCTTTCTAAAATGAAACCATTTTATCTTTTATGGCAAGTCTTTGTATCGTCTAATGACTTTCTGAAGACAGTCTATGCATTTTATCCTTCCATATTAGGATGCTGTAGTGGTTTCTCTCGAACCACAATACTTCAGGTGATCTGACCTGTCTATGCCTTCTCATCTTCACATTTCAAGGCCGTGCTCTGACCATTTCTGTCTCTAGAGATATGATATCAACATTGACTGTTATGTTCAAACCTGGTAGGAGGCCCGACTTTGGCCTTTAGGAATTTTCGTATGCAAGTAGCAGTATATATGCTTCACAGGTCTTCTTTTGCAAGCATATCCGCAATGTCTAGGTAAAACGCGACTGCGTTGAATCTACGATGGAATTGTTAGTATTATATGGGCGGTAGTAGATGATTACTCCGGACTTACGTTGGATTCTTTCCAAACCAGATTTTCTTCATCGTCCATCTTAATCTGTTGGTCCAGTTGATCAAGTCTAGATGGCTCACACCGACAAGTGTGCCTTTGTAGTCGCCCCATTGGCTGGATTGCACGCTGACAAGCCCATCGTTTGGTCCTTCTGCGTTCTGCATGACCTGCCATGTGGTTCTAAATGGGCTGAGCAGAGGGGGTTGGTCCATCATGGCACCGTAGGAGAAATATCGTACCGATGGGTCATCGGGTGTCTTGGGGTTAAAGTCTTCAGTCATGTATTTCTGCGTCAGCTGCGCAAAGGCACCCGTCTCGACGCCCAGCTTGCGCGCAAATCCATACAGTTGCGGCAGCCTCTCGTCGCCAATTTCATCAAAGACAAAGTCGGCAAAAGCGCTGCCGTGGTGCGGTGTAGCGACCGTGACCAGTGAGCGGACGTCGACGTTCTTGGGCTGCAGATGCGAAATCATGTAGCGAGAGTCGAGGCCGCCCATGGAATGCGCGACAATGTTGACGCTCCGGCCCCCGGCGACGCGGGCAATGTGCTCCCCGAGCTTGGCGGCACGTTGCTCGATGCTGCCCGACGGGGGTACCGCCGCTGTGATGACCTCGACGCCGTTGGCCCGGAGCGCATCGGCAATCCCCCACCAGTAATGGACCGGCGGCAGCAGATTGCCAGCCACCTTGAGTTCGGCAAATCCCAGCAGCCCGTGCGCGAGCACAATGGGCAGTTTGGGCGTTGCTGTTCCAATGTTTGGTCAGCCTAGGTGTTTCTGGTCTTGGGAGAGGGTAGGGTAGGGGGCGAGTTTGTACCGTAGCTCTCTCTTATCGTAGCATAATCATCCTCTATACGTCGACCCAGTGCCTTGAGTCTGGGATCACTGTCTGCCGCATCTGAATAGAATCTGCTGGCTCCACGCCCACAGTCGAATGTTATGCCATGACTGCTTGGCCTGGATCTGCGGTAGATAATTCGACCATGGTTCAGACAGATGCGAGCCCGGCAACTTGGCAGGACACGCTTCAAGGGCATGGTTGTCATTGCATTTCAGCGACAGCGGCTCCAGTGATGTTGGTAGTTGGATGTCTAATGCAGCACATTACTCATTTCGGCCTAGGCAAACTATCATCACCGTAGTATTTTGTTGTTGTAATTACTGTAAAATGATGCTGGTTACGGAAATTGCTGGGTGGTCCGTCTACAAACTGGCAAGAATGGACGCGACGCGGACGCCTAGGGCCCCTTGACGTCATGCACCAGTAACGGGATTGGCTAGCAGCTTCTTACCTCCCACTATAGCACAATTGACAAGAGGTTATGTATACTCCTTTCCAATATGACCATGATTCGGCAATATTTGTCTTAGTCAGAGAGCAGTTTCATTCTGAGAACAAACAATTCTCTATAGATATATGGGTCATTTCCTATGTGCTGGTCCAACCATTCCGCCGTGCTAGATCCGTCACCCTTGGAGGACAGAGTTTTCAAAGGGATACCAGATCAGGGAGCCCCGACGCTCATTTTGGACATGCAGCACCATGCATATTTGAATCTCTTGGAACGGACACGATTTCGCAGACATACTTGACGATAATCTGCAGAGGCAGGGTTCAGGATCACACCCCCAAGAACATGGCCCGTGTTGGAACAACTGCACAAGAGGTATGTACTGTGGACCATAGTACCAACTGCGCCTGTAATCAGAGCTTCCAGGCCACAGGATTAAGCGCGGTGCGCTCACTGCATACATGTCTTTCTGGTAAGAAAACCCACAAATACTCGCTATCGCGATTCATTCTGGCAGACAGGCAGGCTCCGGTAGTTGGGTAAAGGATGGAATAGGCAGTGTAGGGTTAGGCAAGTGTCTGTTGGCCGTGATTGCGTACCCTAGACTCGAGATGTACCCGCAAATCGTACCACCGGATCGCCAGCGAAGCCACTACAGCGGATACCTTGGTTGTGAACAACCTCATTTGCCTTGATATTGGATATATCTTCTTACCTATACTTGGTACCAATTTCCTCGCTCACGTCAAAAATCAAAAAGGTAGGTTTCGAATACAAAGACAATGGGGGGAAAATGTTTGTGCCTTCAATGCCATCATGGATATTCTATCCAGATTGCAGCCTTGATGAGCCAGCTCCCCTGCAGTCAAAATCTGAATCTGTGCACGTCTTTTGAGGATAGATCGCGTTTATTGAGCTGCGCAATACAGTAAACGGTTGGGTCCGTTCGTCCAACCACAGAGAGACAATAACCGCGCCAATTTGCGTCGCTCTTTCTGATTGGTGGTCTTGTCCAGGATCCCATAGTTGAACCATACTGCTGGGTCAACAACGGTCAAATAGATAGACCTTATTGGACTTGCCGTTCCACTTGCCATGACCTACATTATGGATCTTGTTTGCCATCTCCATACCTCTAGACATTGTGGGTAGGCTCAAATGAACCTTCCAAGCCCCGGCTGCTGGTCCCCGGTGACTGATACGGTTTACTGTGCTTGAGCCGGCCCACTCCCGTCACAGTAGCAGCCAGGGCATGGCCGTGTCCTCTTCCATATGACTGTTGGCATATGCAAAGCCAAGCAGGAAGGCAACGACCAACAAGTAGCACTGCATATGCAGATTGCAAGGATATCTTAACCTCAATCTGACCACTGAGAAACGGAGGATGCATGCCCAGCCATATCGGGTGAACACCACTCGGTCCGGTCCATAGCCTTTGCTTTCCGAACAGGCCCCCTCGCTCTGAGTATGCGCGCGGGGGCTATTGATTTGTCCTCGAGGATTTGGCGGCCTTGTTGTCTGTTTACTATATCACTGACCCCTTGGTAGCACTGTCTAGTGAAAAGCTTCTGCGATCGGAATCTCTTGTTTTCTATCTTCTGCATGTCAAAATATTGAGAGACAACATGGCCAGCACAGGCGGAGATTGCAGCAGAAACGACTGCTTATACACCATTCTCCAATATTCACCTTCGCTGGTCGGCAACGCCGTCCTGCTAGCCCTTTTCGCTATTCTTATTCCCATTTCCTGCCTATTGGGGTTTCGGTATCACAGTATCGTCTTCTCCACGACCATAGTCACTGGACTACTCCTCGAGATCATCGGCTACATCGGCCGTGTTTTGCTTTCACTGAGAGACAATGGGACCAGAGCCGACTATGCTCTGTCACAGCTCGGCACGGTTTTGGCACCCACGACCATCTCATTGGCCATTTTTCGACTGATGCCGCCAATCGTGGCAGCGTATGGTGAACAATACCGACCGTGGAGGCCGACTTGGCACAATGTGGTATTTTATGCTTTTATCATCATATGCATCATTCTTCAGGCCGTCGGCGCCATCTTATCAACCGTCTTTGACAACTCTATTCTGGTAAATCTTGAAGTCTTGCAGTTGAAAATTCTCTGGTATACTAATCATCAAAGTACAATTTTGGGATTCGTCTTCTAGTCGCAGGCTTGGCCATACACTTGGTCAGTCTGTTCGTCTTTGTGATACTCGGCTTCCGATTTGCGCTCGCTGTACGACAGAGGAAAGGGGGCTGGGACCGAGGCATGCCTGCAGTACATGACACAGCTCGATTCAAGTCGTTTCTGTTTGGTAGGTAACCATAACAACTCCGATTGTGGCCAATAACTCACGGATATCAAACAGGCATCAGCCTCTCTACCTTTCTACTTGTGGCTCGCACAATATATCGAACCATTGCCGTCGCCAGGGACTCGTCGGCAATCGAACGGAGCGAAGTCCTCTTTCTTGTGCTCGACGGCGCGCTCGTCTTTCTAGCCACGGCACTACTCCAGATCTTGTTTCCCGGCAAGATGCTGAGCACTTCGTGGTCCGACAGCACTCTCCACGAGCGTCGTATGACGCAAAAGGGCGCGGCTGTCATTAGCCGTCCTGCGCCCATACAGCTGGAACGGTCCTCGTACGCTCCCTACCACACTCGGGTAAGTCTCCAGTCGGGCAAGACTACCTCGCCCAACATGTACTCGCCGCAGACGTACCAGATATATTCGCCCCACGGGCAGTCTCCAAAAACAATCTCTCCCAAGACGTCGCCTCGGAGATCAATGATTCCACCACCTTCGCAAAGAACCATGGCCGATCAGCGACGAAACATGGTTGATTCCGAGCAGTTATGGTGATGGTACACTCTAATATGGTAGATGGAAATAGACATTTCAAGCAATCCAAGTGGACGCGACAATGGTAATTGGTCAATACCCTCAGTGATCTTCTTCAAAGTGTGTTATCCGCATGGCGTTCATATGGTGATAGGGTGGCGGTTGTCATTTACTGGGGGCAGAATGATTCACATCATTCATGCGGTTGATTTTACAGATATTCTTGATTTTTATGGCTTTTTGGCTAGCTTCTTGCTTACAGCAGGACGGACAGTAGCCCGATGGCGCTTCGGTAGTCACTCATTAGAATTTGTGCTTTTTGTACTCACTACACAGTGTTCAAAATATACATTCCCTTTCCTCAAGAAAGATCCACGCAAGCTCAACGCATGTGTTCGAGGGCATTCCCAAATTAATGAGATTACTTGACCACTACATGACTGAAACAAATCACAATGATTCCCAACCACTGCTCACTAGCGCTTCAGGTTGAAAATATGTTTGAGAGAATAAATATATCCACGCAGTGCTTGGCTGGCCTGTTCCGGTGATGTCCTCTGATTTCGAAAGAAGTTTCGCCAAGCTAGTTTTGATAGTGGGCATTAATACCCCATCGTTCATTGCCCTCCCGGTTCTGGTCCTCGGGAGTTGTTTGGGTGTACTTAGGCATTAAGACAGAAGGTACGGTTAAAATCAATTATCAAGGTTTCTTGGCAGAACGGTTCCAGGAGCGGGAACTCCAACTTTTCAGTTTCCTCGTGACTGGTTTGCTGAAGTTCGACCCGACTTGAATTGTAGATTTATACTCAACACTGATTCGGCTGTCCCGCACCTATCAATGATCAATTTTGGATATTCATTTGGAATGGCCTTGACCTATTGCTGGCTATGTAGACTACCAAGGTGTGTGGACTTTTCGACGCCCGCAACGAATGTACAGTAGACTACATCCTCAGACATCCTGAACTTTCCACTGCTGATGGTAAATATTGCCAAGATTCTTGAAGTCACCATTCCAACCAACAATCGGAGTCCTAAAAATGATTATTACATGAAAAATAGCGGAAAATAAATATTAAGTTATAGTTTGCTTACTGTTCTAATTTTCTACCCTCAAATAGATCAACGAACGTTCCCGTTCGGACATTTTGGATCCTATAAGTAGTGGTCAGAAGCGAGATGCGGATAATCTATGGTGATTAGAGAGCAACTCACATTACAGTATTAGGGTTAGCAGGGTCGCCAGTGATGAAGCGCCAGTGCTGGTTAGGGTTGATGGTATCGCCACCGTGCCAGGTTGTGATTTTGGTTCCATTGTCGGCTTTGCCGTTTGTGAGATCAAGGTAGCCTAGAGCCTATGTCAGTGATTATCTCTTACTTATGACGGCTTAAGGCACTTACTCCCAGTTTCCTCATTCTTGATTATGTATATGGGCCAGGGTCCAGTCGTGCCTACATTTTGCAGTCTCCACTGCTGGTGCTTGTAACCGTTATATCGATGCCCAATAACAGGGGTTCCGTCTGCCGGATTTCCTATGTCTTTTGTCAGCATAGCGCGCGGCATTTATCGGTCGCAATACTCACCATCGGTCTGATCAATACAGAGATCTGCGCTGTAGTTCGTGAATGACACAAGAGCGTTGTTTCGGACAGGCGACATGACTGCAAAATTTTGGTGGGTTGTCTCTGTTATATCAGGAAGTTAAAAGTAATTTAAGAAAGAATTAATCATTTGATTTTTGGAAGTTCGATGGCCTTTTATACCGGCTTGATACACCTTATGAAATACGTTATCGTGTTTGCAACAGACTATCACTCCGCCACCCTTGGTATTCTTTAATATTTTAAAGTTATTCGATGAAATTAGCTCGGTGAGGCTGAATAGAGGAACGTATTGCATGTGACAACATATAACCTTTTGAGAAATAATAAATTTTCTTAATTATAACACTAATAGTAGGCATAAATATGTTATACAGAAATGCAACATCTACCGTAAGTTGGTTGAGGTTTACATAAGAGGGGTATGGCCCTATGATCTTGGCATCCTCCTCTCACGACCAATGACAAACGTTCCCAGCAATTTGAGTAGTGATTTCTCCAGTTGTCGAAACGAGGATTTGGACGGTGGTCAACAATGGTATAGATGATAGGGGGGCGCAATAGAGCTTCTTGCATCAAGAATAGTCAACTATGATGGGGCTGATCCCCAGGAGTCACCTCCACCGAACACCGCTGAAAATGACTTCGCATATGCAGAGCCTTGAATCTCGTACAAAATAGTGATACGGTTCATTTTCACCTAAACCGGCGTGTAAAAGCATGGGGGAAAGACGGAGGAACTTAGAGAGCAGTCTGAGTTAATCTTATCGAGCTATTGGGGAAAAGAAAATAGCTAGACATACCCGAGCCGGTGATCTGCGATAGGTATTCTCTACGACTTGTTGTCATCGGACAGCTAGTGGCCGTAGCGTCCGGCCGGCGCGTTGACGTCGGCCCCGTTGTTGAGCAGTACTTGCACGTGACGTTGATGCCACACGCGCTTTGTGATAGCCCAGTGATGAAACCCTGAGTTATACCTTGATGGAATAGTCAGGTTTCTTGTCCTTGTTGTCCGTAGGACAGAAGGGTATCCTAGAAAGGTATCCCAACACAGAAGAGTACCCTGCCATGGAATAGTATCTCAGGACAAACAGGACAGAAGCGTATCCCGGCGTCTATAGAATTGAAGGTAGCCTCAGAACCTAGAGCGTGGAATACATGTGCTGCAGTACCCCGAAGGCCTGGGAGGTCCTAGCCTGATAAGCGGAGGACTAATGTGGTTATATTTTCTTGATCACGGTACAAACCTTTGCGCCGTGGCGCCAGGTATTGAAGTTTAACCTGCTTGATGATACTTCCGGCGGAAGTGATTCGGAAAAAGAGGCACGCCCACGATCATAATGAGCGACGACAAACATTCCGGGCAAGAGTCATGGATTGTAGGTCAAATCCCACCGACCAAAGATGCCGCGGTCCTTTAGCCCGGGCTCTACGGCCGTAGCCAGTCGTACCTTATCCTTCGGGATGGGTTGCTTTTATCCGTCAAAACGAGAGTTGTACCCATTACTTTTGGCCAAAGCTAATCTGACAGTCGGCGCTATCCATGAAATAACATCTAGCCAGAACTTATCGTACTGATTCCTCTGGGGTAAATAGGATCGTGGCAATCATCCATTTGTGAACTAATGAATCTTGTACAAACGGTCCAATCGTAGCTCATCATATTGCTATCGCGCTGCGACGGAAGCATGCCCGTCTTCGTGAACCAAAAGCTTCCTACCGAACTGTTGCCAACATAGCCACTGCATTTCCTGAGGGACAAAATGACTCTGTTGAGCCAAAAGGAAATCGCTCTCATAGCCTACCAGGGAGACGTAAGATAGAAGGAATCCCAGTGCATGACGGCGAGCGTGGTTCTGCGGACAACGTTTGTTGTTGGAATCCTCTTGAAGCTCCCTCCAACAGCAGCAACCTCTAATACAACTGAGAAATTTTCTCCAAACCCCTAGATCCAACAAAAAACGTGGTAGAGGTTTCAGAAACAATCTTCCTAACCCCCATACTAGAAAAGATAGTTTGGAAAGAGAAACTCTGCACCCGCTTCAGGAAACTTCGGCTCCCCAAGTTTCTTAGCAGTAAACTTTCAAATTTCACCCGCAGTAAGTTTCTTGGTCCTCAGTATCTCTGAGCTATGAGCTGTAGCGCTGCAAAATCACCTGCTCACCCATCTCACGGCCACTTGCAGCATAATTGGACCATCAAGATGATAAAACTCGAATTTTCACGGTGCCAGCCATTCTGTATACCTTACAAGACGATATTATATGTATTTAAAAATGAGACATTCGCGCACACTGACCATTCTCACTTGCTTGACCGCCTTCTGGCAGGGCAATCAAACTGGTGGCAAAAAGGGATGAAACTACGAAATAGAAGATAGTAGATGACCGCCACGGACTTTACTTTGAGGTTGCCGTCCAGACTTGTATTTGTGCAATTAGTTCATCTCGGCGAGCCAGTTTCCAAGTTTCGTAGGCTTTCTCTTTCGTCGTGGAGTTTATGGGCAAAGCACATTATAAAAGTGTTTGCTTTAAAGTGCCCAGATAAGATAAATACATGGATCAGGTGGAATTGCGGGACAAGAAATCAATTGATGTTCTTTCATCACTCGTACCGGATTCTTTGGATGGGTGGTCCAGCATTGTTTGAAGTGGAGCAGGTCGTTTTGATCTGATGCAAGGGATGGATGAACCATTTTCACCTCGTCGAACCCTTGACCTTCAATTGGCCCAGGTTAGTGAGAAAGAAAAGGCCAGGACTCACAGACCAGCGGCCTTGTGGTCTAGTCAAGTTTGGTTTCATGAGGCAAGTACCCAATAGTAGTGAAAGGATCAGGTATGCCAGAGAAGCTGGCTAGGATGGGTTGCCAACATTACGCTAAACGCCCTCTGGTTCATTGAACATTTGAGACAGACAGTGTATATGCCATACTTTGTTCAGTGTAGTACTCAACAACCTGGGCTTGTATCCGTCTCAAGTAGCTCTGTATCTGAGATACTCAGACTGGCTAGCTAGACCTAGTTTCAAGGCTCAACTCCTTCTATTCTCTCAAGCAAAGTGATAATGGGAACATAGGGTTGTATAAGTCCCAAATTAAATCATTCAGATCTTCAGGTTACTGACTTGAGAGCCTTTTAGGTAAATCATCATCACAGAATACCCGGATGGGTAGTTTGACGGCGCTTCACTGCCGCGCGACTACTGAGTTTGTCCAGGTACTTTGAAAGTTACCCGAGGCGAAAGCACAGCACGACGGGTGACAGTCCGTAGCTTACTTCTGGGACTCATCCGACGCAGGAGGAATGGAGCAAACGGAGTCGCTTTTGGCGAGACGCCTTCGAAAAAGAGGTTGCTAGATAGTAGACCTAGCATAGTACCCTCAATGTCTTTGGTCTCAGTACTATGAACAAATAAATGAATGAATAGGCTGGTGATTTGGTTCTTCCAATCTGCCAACCTTCGGCTCGTAACCAGTGGGCAAAACACTTCATCCAAGTACAAGTTTTTGACAACATTGCACAATGTTTTGTCGTTGAAACGAATCATTCCTTTGTCTCGGTTGAAAGTTCTTTGTAATATTGTTTCATGTATTGCACGAACTGACTATCTTCTTTTAGTGCCTTTCTTTTTCTTTTTTCTTGATCGGGAAATATTCAAAGTATAGCCAAGGAGGACATTACCGGGAGACATTTTGTATATAACTGCCCGAAAGAACCAGAATAATCGAAATGATTAAACCAATACAAATCGCACCAGTGAGTTCTCCCGACCTTCATAACTCGCTATGTCCTTGAAGCCAACGTGGGCGGTACCTGAACCAGGATTTGACGAAACTAAGAACGAACACGTTCTCAAAATGTACAAAACCCTTGCAGATGGCTCAAGGCCGGCAATGGTTCAGCAAACCCAAACGGCAGCCAGTCTAGAGGCACGAATCGAGGAGAAGCTCCAGGACTTTACTCATCAGATTGGACGAGCACCAACCGAGGAAGAGAAGAAATGGATAACACAAGTTGAAACTCGATGCAGTGGTTGGTTGGAAGGCCTCCGTGTTGATCTCCAAGGCAAGACCACAGTCCCTGTTTCTCATCTCAATCGTCTTGAGGACCAACAGGAGAAGGTCATCTTGTACTTTTCGAGGGAGTTAATGGACCTCAAAGCCGCTAATGCTCGCGATTCTCGGGGGTTCAACCATGGTAACTTGAGCGGCAATGCTGATGGTTCAAAAGATTCGGCCAAGGAGCTACAAAAGCAAGTTGATCAATTGAAACTACAATTGCAAGACATGGACAGTCAACTTGAGAACCTCAAAGGAGGACAGCCAAAAGCTCTCTGACAAGATTGAAGAGCTTTAGGGCAACCTCGAAAAGTCCGAAGAGGATAAGCAAAGCGTCTCAAACGATTAAAAAACCCCTCCAGGACGAGTACAAAAGATTGGACGACAACTGCAAAGCGCTCATGCGCCAAACACAGAACGAGTACGAGACATTGGACAACAAGTGCAAAACGATTGCAAGCGAAGCAAATAACGCCAATCAGCTTGCCAAAAACCTGCAAAACCGAATCGACGAATTCGAGAATGATTTCGAGAAGTTGCTAAATGAGAACGAGAATTTGATCCGCATGGCAGCCTCCAATGGGAAGGTGGCAAGTTCCACTAGCACTTTGGAAGAGCTGGTTGAGCAGCTGAACAATCTGGTGGATGAGAAAGATGTGTTGATTGATGACTTTAGAGATAGCAAAGGGGACCTGAAGATTGAGATCAATAGGAAAACTCTGGGACGAGCTCGTAAAGCTCAAGAAGTCGAATGAAATTCTGGTCGAGGAAAAGAAGACCAGGAAAACGACAACAGCGGCGGCATCCGAAGAGGCCCAAAAAGTGAGAGAGCATAATGATGAGGTGGTCAGAGAGGCCACTAGACTAACGCAGGCGAGCATTGAGCGCTTGAAGAAGGCAAAGGAGCGGGCTCTCTTACTGCTCGAGGATGACTGCTTCAGATCCGAATAGTAGAGCCAAGACTCAGGACAAAGGCTTTATTTGTAGGTAGGCTAATTCTTATTGAATAGGCTGATTTTCATCTGCTTTCGCCGCGAAGATCTTTTGTCATCCATGTGCATGTGCGCTTTAACAATCCTTGAGGAAGATCAACACACAATGAGATCTTTCTTCTTACGTCTTGTACATGCTCCCAGAACCATGGACATTGGTACCATTGAGATACCTTGATCGCTATTGCACCATGAGAAAAGAATATGATGAATCAAATATGACACTATTTGGACTTTGCTTATCTTGCACACGGCTTTGGACGCTGGTTCTGATTTGTTGCATATTAGAAATGCAGCCTCAAGTCAGAAGACGCTTGACGTCGGGCCGCGTTCCAATAACACGACTTGAAAAGAACTTTTGGAATGACGAATGAGGATTTTTGGAAACGCATGAAGCGGCAGAACCATCGGGCCAGCCCGGATGGTATCATGAAAGCAAGGATGGAGCCAGTATGCCTACCGATACATGGAAGTGTATGAACATGGACGTGGCTTTCCCCGCTGAATGTACTCGACGGACCTAGAGGCATACAGGAGACGATTGCTACAGACCAAGTCCTACATTGCAAAGATCAATTTGTGATACCTCGGTCTTTGCATCAAGAACTTTGCGGTGCGGTGGAAGATGGCTGGTCACAAGATGTCTTCTAAAGCTACGTGTATGTAATCATGTGCTGCGCACAAGATGATTATTTGCGTCTTATGATCTCTCTGGATCGTTCACGTCCAGCTTTGATGCGCAACACTATACTGAACAGGAGTGGCTGCAAGAAAGCAAATCAAAGCTGGCTCCAGACCAGGCCGTCGTGGTAATGCCAAGCCAGACGGAAGCCTCAGGCCGCGCTCGCTTGATCTCAATTTGATGGTCCAGATGACCTGGCCACGAGGAAAATGTCAGCTTTGAGTTTTTCATGGGAGCGGTACGATATGGTATAGCCGCGACAGTCGGATCAGAGGAATCCCACCACTTCCAGGTCGGGCCTCGTTTCCTACTCGCGTCCGATAACCCAAGTGAAGCTGGAACCGGGTATCAGATGTCAATCAGTGAACTCCACAGAAACCAGTGGCCAAAGAGCAGAATGCTCTTGCGTAAGCTTGTAATATTTTCATGTTTCTTATTATCCTCACATCGTTGCAAAGTTGTATGATCTGGCCCGACAAGACGGGATAATCAGACGTCTTATATAGTCTTGGCGGGGGGCGGCTGGTACGTAATGCACAACATTGTGGACCAGCTCGGGTCTGACACGAGACATTTGCGAACAATACGACAAGAAACAAGAAATATTTCTGCCATACCCAGTTCCGAAGCCACGAAGCCGTCGTCTTTTGTCGTCGTCCCTTCTTAATTTTTCCCTGACTGATCATGTCAAAGGAGGGAAAAAAAGACAGGCAAGGGTGTTCGGGAAGGTCGCCGCGGGCATTAACAACCATACGCAGTATGCGGGGTTGTGATTGGTGGAATTAAATGCTGAAGAAGATCCAGTAATAGGGAACGTCCGGCAAAACCACGACAATTCGAGACATGCAAGACGAAACCCGCGCCAGGGGGGGTTTGCTGGAGAGGGGGGTCAGAAGAAGACCCCCAGGCTCGCCAGGTGCTCTTCCAGGGGAATGGGCGAGACCTAATGCGCCCAAGCTTCCCCCGCAGTGCCCGCTGAAAATTATGGGCCTTCTCCCCCAAGGTACCTAACCTCCATCCAACTCCAAGTATGTAATCAAGACCTCTCTCTTCTAGTCTATGTCCCCTCACTAGAAGAGTCTTATCCCAGATAGGAGCTCTCCTAGACGGCCCATGTAGCACAAGGTCTACTACACAATATTGCTGTATTAGCTTTTAAGAGCCCTTCTCTTCTCTAATGGTAATCTATCTGCACCAAGATAATATCGTAGTAGTCACGATGAAATCTAATTCAAGACTACAATTCTAGGAGGCACATTGTTGAAAGAAATTAGTGTAATTAATGCTTGGGAGTCATTGCGAGCTCCAGCGGGTAGGATATGATTTTCAAATGGTTGAAACTTGACGTCTTTCCCTGTGGCTTTTGATCTTCATAACAGAACCTGCCTATATGTCTCGTCTGAGAGCAGTACCCGGTCCAAGCTCGGCTTCTTGCCACGGCAGATTGACAATCCAGACCAGTAACCAGGTACACGTTCGTCTTTGGAATGTGTGTATGGATGTCATCTTCGCTAACATTCAAGATCATACCGGACCGTGCATTCCAGGACCACGGAACTGAGCTGCTAGATATATCGTTGCCCCAGGATAGGATATCCAATGTCTATATAGGTACTGACGTTGGCCGGATTCCCGGAAAAGCCAAGCAAAGCACCTATTGATATTCCCGGCCACGTCTACGGAATATGCGAGATCGTAGTGCAGAAACATGCTTCTTGGCTGTTTGGTGGATATACAAAATATAAATCCACAGCTTCTAGCAACCCTCTGTTTACAATGTACACTGGGTGGAATTGGCTTGGCTTTACATCTCTTGACTCTCAAAATTTGAGCGGCCGTACATGGATTCTTTAGCAGCTCAGCTGTCTGTTGTCTACATGTAGTCTTCTCCAGACTATATACATGGGCCGATGATAGACATTGCATTTCCTGTATTGGGATGAAGTTTAGAAAGCATCTCGTCCCGTCGCCTACTTCATGCCTGCTTACCTATTCATGCATGCATCTCGCAAGGTGTAAAAAAAAGAAAAAGCACCACCAAACAAAGTCAGAATAGCCGTCAAAGAAAGTGCTATGTAGGCGGAGGCACCGGGTTGTTGCCCCCTCCTCTGCCCCCCCAGCCCATACAACCTTGTCAGCATGCAAAGCTAGCGGGCATTGCAACTGGAAATCGGGGAAATTCCCATGCCCCAGAGGAGGCTTGGCAGGTCTGTTGGAGGACATGTGTGGGTACAATCCCCACGGCCCACGAGTCCATTAGAGCCCGGTGTAACTCGTACCTACCACATCCTTCCTACTGCTTGTTATCCTTTCCTTTCTCGCTGGAAACGTATCCAATGTAAATCAATCCGTGATTGATCCTCACGCCGCCGCAGCAGCAGCAGCAGTCAATTGGTACCAGCACACATCCGTCTGGGTTCATCTCTATCTATTTACCTGGCCAGTTGGTTTCATTTTCAGTCCCCCCCATCTAAATCCCCCATCCCGTTCAACCAACCCCATGCTGTCGTCTATGCTACTCATGCAGCCCTTCTTCTTCATAATCTGTCAGAGTGCTGCCGTCGTCTATTCTTCTCGTGAGAGAGCGAGGGAAGCAAGGAGTGTCCACTCAGCATACAGTCCATCGCTTGTCGTTGCCGGTCCTGTCTTCCACCCCACTCTGGATATTCCGAGTTCATGCCTCCCCATTTAAATTCAGTTTCATTGCTCCGGAGAAGCAGACAGCTTGGTCCGACAAGTTCTTGAGTTTGGGTCTAACCATTGTTTGGACTGCCAAGAGAAGGAGGAAAAGAAAAGCAAAAAAGAACAACTATATACCACAGCCCAGCTCGACTCCGCAATCCTGCCTGCCAGTCTGTCTGCCTGTCAGCCAGTGTGTGCCCTTTGTTTTGTTTTTCCCCCGGGGTAGTGGTTACATAACAGCTACCTTAACTTACCAAGCGGCATTGGAACTGTCCCTGCTGCCCTCCAACATTCCCATCTCCCGCTCATAGCGTTTGAGGCTCAATCCACCAACCTGGGTCCTGCAAGCAACTGATTGTTTCGCCGAGGCCCGGCCTGGCCCGAATCTCTGCCTTCTGGTGGCTGGAAGAATTATACGACGTCTAACAGAAACGAGTCACAGCCGACTGATGCCAAGAAGCAATATTCTTCCGCCTTATCTCATGCGTCTACCGACGTGCCCCTAGTACAGATCATCACACATTGAGACCGGTTGCTGCCATTTGAGGTGGATAACCTGACCTAGGTTAGCACCGTTGTCGTCGAATCGCAACCTTAATTCTGCTCGCGTCCTTAGTTGCGAGCAAAAGCTAAGGCTATTACTACAACATACTACTATATTGTTGTCGTCAGGGAAGACGCCCACTACATCGCCTACCTACTTACCGTCAAACACATATTCTCCGAGCGCACAAGGTGCCCCGCTGCAACGGTCCTACCAGATCGCTACGCTGTATTGGAAGCTGGGACACCACCAATGAGATATCCCGTAGCTGACATCTAGCTTCCCAGCTCAGCTCCACCGTCTTCCGTTACCTGGGCCAAGGCAACGTTCCTCCTGCTAGGGTATTTACAAGTTGAGACTGTTTAATAAGAAATAGTCCTGTGCCTCTTGCTCGGTCTGGCGGTTTCTCCTCTCCTGTGCTGGTACTTCTGTCATGCCCCAGGACTGTCTCCGCCCCTTTGCTATATCTTCTTTCCACGGCGTCAAAGGCGTGTCACTTAAGGCGAGTAGACCTCAGCCTACGACGACTGACCGGCCTGGACACCGCCTTTCACTCTAACCGTCAAGGTGCCTACGGTTGTTTCGTTCGACAGACACTTGCCAAAGCACCCGTAGGGAAAACAGCGAGATGGCCACCGTAGTCCAAAAGTTAGACGCCGGCCCGCCGCCTGTGCGGCCTCTGAGTGTCAACGGTGTGCCGGGGATCGAAATGGACATTGATCGGCGATCGATGTCACCGTCCATGAATGGAGTTAAATTTGGCAGCGGACCAAAGAGGGGCGATACCCGGATTGTGGTCATTGTATTTGGTCCTGGGCAAGAGAACATTGTTTCGGTCTTTGCTGATGTTCTGGGGAAATCATATCGCCTAGCTGATGGATTCGGCAGCATATCATCGACAGATAAGGACGTTGTGATTGGGATGGCCGCAGACAAGGCAAAGGAGGATATCACTGCACGCGCCAAGAATATTGTGGTTGCCATCAATGCACATAATGTCAACCAAGGGATGCCGCCGGATGCCCAGCTATCGGCCGAGTGTGATTACGAGTTTCTGTACTCAGAGGCGCCCTTCTTTCGTCGCGACCTGTCACGCTTCACTTCCTTCGTCCTTGGTCAGATTAATCACCACGAGGCCTTGATGGCAAAACCAAGGACCTACTTCATCTCGACGACATTTCCTGATGTGCATGCAGCATTGCCTAACATAGATATCCTCACAGTTGGCGCTGACGCTGTCGAGTTGCGCGTTGATTTACTAAAAGAGCCGTTGAGCGATGGTACATTTGCCCCAGTTCCAAGCCTGAGCTATATTGGCGAGCAACTCATGCTGTTGCGACAAAGGACCGAATTGCCCCTGATCTTCACAACTCGCTGCACAAAGGAGAATGGGCGGTTCCCCATGGACAATCCCGAGCTATACTACGAATACCTGTATCGAGCAATCCAATGGGGCGTCGAATATATTGATGTCGAGGTATGGCTACCAGAAGCCATTCGCCAAAGGCTGTACGAGCAGAGAGGCAATAGCCGTATCATGTCAGCCTTTCACGATTTCTCCTTCACCTTCAAATGGCCTTCGGTTCAGGCACAATCGATTTTCCTCGAATCACGGAAATATGCTGATATCGTCAAAATGATTGCCTTTATCAATGAGCACAACGAGAACTTTGAGATGGAGTATTTTCGGTCCAAGATCCGAGCCGAGTACCCAGACGCGCCGCCCCTTTCGCTGGTGAACATGGGCGAGACGGGACAGTTCTCCCGAACATTGAACAAGGTCTTTACTCCAATCACACACCCGCTCTTGCCCATCATTGCAGCTCCGGGTCAAATGAGTGCTGCCGAGATCAACGCTGCACTGTCTCTATTGGGCCAGCTGCCAAAAAGAAATCTGTATGGCATCAATAGTCCATCATTGAGAGTCGCAGCGCCCCAGGCTCCTTTTTACGAAAAGTGCTTCAACGAACTCGGCTTGCCTCATCAGTTCGCCGTCGTGGAACGACAGACACGAGGACCTTCATGCGTCGAAGCCTGGTGTAATCAAAAGGCGTTTGGCGGCGCATACCTGAACCCTCCCGTGTCCTACACAAGCTTGATGCACAATAGTAATGTCTTCTCACGACTCAGGAATGGTGCGGGCCCTATCCTAACGGAAGCGGCCCGCGTGATCGGCATGATAGACACGATCACGGTACGTTCAAGCTCGAATCACGCACCTGAGTCGGCGCCGGCTTCCATTCCATCGAGCCCTACACGAAACGGCGAGGCACGTCACAGATCGGTACTGTCACAGTCGAGCTCAGGGCTGCCTCCTCACTCGTCTCTAGTCTTTGATAACGCGACTTGGCGTGGCATACTCAGCACACTGACGCGTGATCTTGCGCCGTCGGCTTATTTTGGACGCACAGCACTGGTTCTAGCAACGAGCTCAGACGATGCGGCGTCCGTCATCTTTGCTCTCAAAGCCCTCCAGGTTGACAAGGTGTACACCGTCGGTTTCAAAACACCGGTTGCACTCTCAAGAGGTATGACGATTGAGCCTTTCAATTCTCTAGAAAGCCTCCAGAGAGCGCGTATGGTTGGGGACGAGGCGAGCCCATTCGTTATTGTCTCTGCCCTAGGCCCTGAAAAGGGTAACATTGTAGGCATGCTACTGCGTGTCTTTGGAGGCACAAGGAGTCCTTCCTCTACAAACACCCGTAAGGTCTTCCTCGACCTAGCAGATGGACCTAGAAAGAGTGATCCAGGCACTATTGCCGAGCAGAGTGGATTTGCTGCTTATGGGGTCGCTGACGTTGCAGCATTTACGACCGTTGAATCACTCAGGCAACTCGTCGGACAGAATGTGCCATATAGTTTTGTGCGCCTAGCCAGTGGACGCGGCATCTTCTAAATGGACCCTCGGACAAGACTTCACAAGAATATATCAAACAGGAATCGAAATGTTTGCTGTTCGAAGGGTGCAACTGCATTATTCCTCGGGCATACCTTGTTTATGCTGGGTTATGCTGGATTTTCATCACAAGGGTTGGCATTAAGCTCCCGACGCGGACAAACGTGGCACAACTTCCTTGGGATGATGATTTCAACATTGGTAAGAGATATAAATGAAGAAATAGGGGGTCGAATCACTTGGCGATTCTTGGCTCAGTGCTCCGAAAGGTGCGGCGAATGGTGGAGCGCAGTACAAGATGGACGGGGAAAGGAATTTGAATTATTTGCATAAGGAGCAACACAGATTCCGGGTGTTCAGACATTGGGCGGCGTCCTCTATTTTCTGGGAGCCTCGATCGAAGCCACAGAGAGCGATCTACCTACGGGCTATACACACACACACATTGAACGATATGTGACCATTATTTCGGGGATCTGCTTCATTTCATTTGTCATTCTTCTTGGTGCGCCGGACTGATCCCGCGACTAGGTCTTGATTGGACTTTGAACATGTTCTATGTACATAGTTGAATAGATGTACACTTGTCACGCTCATTGCTTGGATGTGCAGGCGTTGATTTATTTCTCAGAAAGTCAACATGTTTTCCGTAAGGATATCATCGAGTCTGTCTCCAGCAGTCATCTCCATTGCTATTCAGTGAGAAGTGTATAAATCTCTTGTGAAACGCCTTTTCACAATTGGACCGAAGATTTCGTCTTTGATTGACATGATTTCCCTAGGCAGAGATCTCTATTACTAGTTTGTTTTTATTTTTATTTTTATAAAACTCTTATGTACCGTGCGTTTGACTAAATTCATCATCAGCTGCAACTCGTCCTTTTCGATGAGCTTCAAGTGGCAACAGCGAACAGATATGACAAATATAAACCATACCTAATTATCTCCAATAACCCTCTGTGATTCTTGAGCACATCCGAGTCCTATAAAAGCCGAGGACATGTCTCTGTCAATACCGTCAAAAGGGTGATTCGTTTGGTTCGATGGTAGCTGTGTATAATTCGTTCAACATTCCGAGCATGGGGAATAAGTTTCCGATTGCAATCCTATGACATGGGAGATGTGATGCTAATTATGTTGAGGAATTGATGAAATTGTATTTAAATTGATTTTGATCATCCATTATCACCATTCTGTCTTTTTCTTCAAACGTTGAATTATTACACAGAAACGAATGACTTGGATCAAGTACTTACGACGACTTTATGAACTCACTGCTCCATGTATCTTCATGGTTCTTCAGCGTCGTGCTTTTGCAGCTACCCAGTTTGGGCTTATATACTCTTTTTCTCAAGCTTTTCCGGGTTTTCATAGAATTTTCTCTAAATCTTCAAAGGATTGTTCCTAACTATAAAAGTTGTATCCTCCTTGAGACCATTCACTTAGTGTCAAAGTTGGATAAAGGCCGTGAGTGGAAACCTTCATCCTTTATAAACTTTGTTCATTCTTTACAAGTGAGGCATGGGAGTAACACAAGTCACCTAGATGTCCATACTGAATAACAAAACTCTAAATTCAACAGATTGACTCCTATTTCAACTTTTCAATGCCAAGACTGCTGCCCCTTTATCACCACGAAAGGCTTTTCTGACAGATCAGCACCGAAAGTCTCTGTGTGTGTTCATATATGACCGGTAGCCAGGAATAAATGAATTATTGTTGTAAGCATTCATATTGTGGCAGCTATTTCTCCAGATAGGTTGAGAATCATGACATCTTTCAACCGTACTACAATCGGTTATGAGCTCGGATCTGGAGATGTGATGACCACCTAGGATTACACATGTGGCTATATAAATTACATCTACAAGTCGGATCACCAAATTGCTCTACATACGTATCTAGGCCATCTCTACATGAGTCATCGACCCAGAGCATCATGCGGTATGCTCCGCAATGACTTGCGCTATATTTCAATGTTGTCCGCCACCAGTGGCCACAGGTATACATATCTGACAAGGTGAATTGGTGGCGATACTTCACAGTGAGCCTTTGATCAACATGAGGGGGCCAATGTCAGTTTTTCCTATCTAGAGAGTCACAGTCCGGGAATATCAACATGTCATAACCAAGCTACTTGCCACTCTTTTGCAAGCGAGCTCAAATATTTATTGTGATATGCAAGCCAACTGCATAGGCCGCGCACCGCCACGTCGCACCGCCACTCACATGATGGTGACCTAGCATACGTTTTGCCACGACGTCACTTTCACCACTGGTCGTTCTTGAGATAAGACAGGTATGGCATCAGCGTCATAACTACCAGGTGTGCTTACAGCTTACAGACAGCAGGAGTGCTTCGCCATAGGGAAGAGGGGGGTTGACGGGCTTGATTCTCCGTTGCTCTGAAAACGTCGGGGACATTTCGCTTGCAGATAAGAGAGAAGGAGAGAGAAAGGTGTGTTTGCGTCACCCACAATATTGTTTCTTGGTGATCATTTTTCATGTCTGTGTGAAGTGGCGTCTGCATTGCTGCATCTTGTAAATGGGTGGGCAGATGAACTGGTAGGGAAAGGGACCTGCATAAGTTTTTGATAGGGCAAGTAAAGTATTCTGTTCTGGCCCTGATCGTGATACAACTGCGCGTACCTGCTTTGGTAGCATGATGTCAGCAGCATTTGGTCGAGCGCCCTCCCCATGGTTGGACAGGCGCTTACAAAGGCACTCCACAAAAATTCTTTTTACTTTTTCGAACTTGGAGCTTGTGTCGCAAGCAGCAGCAGCATGTGCGTATGTAAAGTGTGGGAATATGCACATATTCCTATTAAGGGGTCCTGGCCATACTCGTGCGGCGCGCGGAGACGCAGGCTCCGAAATTGGGGTTGGGCAGGTCAGTTGCAAGGCTGGAAAAGGGTGCACCACTGTCGAGCATCTTTGTATCTTTCTGCAGTATCAAGCGCGTTAAATGTACAGCATGGAAAGGCAAATGGAGAACAGTAATAAGAACCCTATCCACTGCCGCGCAAGAGAGTGAGTGAGTGGCCCCACGGATGTGCTCCCGTCGATGCCTGTCCTGCTCCGGCCCTCGGCGATGGAGACATATTTGTAGCCAAGGTCCGATCCCGTGTGTAACTCGAGTTCAGAAACTGCCTTTCGAGGGCCGGACTTTCTTTATTATGTCTATGCATGGTATGGTATGTCATGGGGTTAGGTATGAGGCTGATGCAAGATAAGTGTCCAGGTACCGGGTCGGTTGCTTGTGGCCACAATAAGTTTTGTGATACCCGACGATTATTGTGCAGACGTCTAGACACCTCACAGCAACCACCCGAGCAACCTGTCTCATGCCGTCAGGCGGTCTCTCTGCCCAATGATGCCATGCTTCATTTTATGTTTGGGGCGAGAACCCTTGGGAAAGTGGAGGGATGACTTCCGGATGACGATCCTCCAGGGGCGAAACAAGCACACATACATGCAGAGAGACATGAAGAATCAAAAGACAAATAAAGAAACCACTTCGTAAGAAAAGTAAAAATTTTATGAGCTTTACCGGTGACCATGGCACCGGAGCAACAACTGCAGTTAGTTGTACGAAACACGCGATGCTCGGGTTACACGGCGGGAGGCTGTGGGAGAAAAAGCAAACGATCAACTTGAACTTGATTTCTTATTCCAACTACAAAGTACCAAGACAACCGATATCCGTGCTACTATAGGATAGGGAACAATGCTATAACTGGATACTCGACAATGGACCTGAAGAGACTTGAAGTAGATATCTGACGACAAGAGAACATGTAGTCGCACATGTCATCTTGGAAGAAGTGAGACATGCTATTGTGGTATGAATACCCGAGTCTCAATGATACCAGTCGCTTACAACTTGTACAGGGTTCGCACAAAGTTGAGATAGAGTATGCGTTTGACAAAAGCCAAGACTTGAAGATATCAAATTTGGTGGGTGCATTTATGACACGATCTCAACAACGGACCTGCATCCAGTAGTTCAACCTTTTGGTATTTTCTTTCGGCTCACACCAGAAACAGATTTTGACAGCCCTCCTTTACCACCTAAATATGTGTAGGTATACGCGCACGAATGAGCAGCCAAAGCTATTCACCAGGATGAACACGATTGCCGGGACGTCGGTAGTGATTACCGGACGACAGCCCCCCCTCTCCTCCCCCAGATTTGTGCTGGTGTACATTAGGGTGCGCATTGCTACCTAGGTATCTCTGGGCCGATTTGTCGCGCATTTACGGGTACGAGCTGGCTTCTAGTACGTGGTGCGCTTGGTAGGTAGGATTGTAATAGCGAATAACAACGCACATGATCTCTCCCCCTCCTCCAAAAAAGACGTAGACCGAAAAGAGAAGAATTGGGGAAAAGAAGAGTGTACGTAGCAAGCAGCGCCATGCGCTAGAAACCCTAAAAGTTATCTGCAGGGGAATCCCTTTCCCCAGATTTTGTTTTTCTAGTTACAAGATTCCGCGTCTGCATACACCGACACGCGAGTATACATTAAGCATATCTGCTATAATACAAGCCGTCATTATAGGGTTGCATGCTTGTGGCGTGAAAAGAAAACAGTCGGTATGCTGACCCGACTTTTGGCATGCTCATGGGTCCTCTCCCTCTCTTCCCTCCCCCCCATTCGACACCCAGCTTTTCACACGCAAACGGCCGTAGGTACGTACCAAGCTGTTACATACATGCTTTCGTGATATCATGTTCGGGTCCGTGATAGTGGGCCTCGATACGACCCGAGGAGTAAGTTTCCCGGTGATTGATCGCAACAAAGCCCGAATTATGGTATAGAGATCGTAGCCAGCACCAGCTAGCAAGCGACTTGGCAACTCCAGCCGCTGGGGTTGCGACCAGTCCGAGGCCCCCCAAAAAAAAACAAGTCCCACATTTGATTTCATCTTGTGAAAAGGGAAGACAAAGACGACAGCCGGGCACTTTACGGTCAGCTACCTATAGCAGCGTGAAGAGACGA